GTACAAGGTTTTGACACACTGCTATTTGACTGATTTGACTTTAGCGCCCATTGTTCAACTGAGTTTTTGGGCAAAAATCATGGGGATTCAACTTGATTCAGCCACAACATACGGTGATCCCCGCGAGGCAGGAGAAGCCCCTGGCCAAGCTCCACGAAGGAAACGAAAAGGCGCCTTAGAACTGACTGGGATGTGCCATGACCCACTTGTTGATACATTGATATATAGAACATCTCCCTGTTGTAGGTATATACATATAATCTATATAATAGTATATATGTATATATATATATGTTACATAAACATTATATATCATGTATATAAACATTTTATATAAATTATATAAACATTATATATAAGTTATATATATATATAGATACATATGTCGACCATGTGATAAAACACTGACTACCTAGGATCTACAGCTGGGTGACCATCTGCTGCGCCGAGGCAAACGGCAACGCGCCACTCCGCTGCTTGGGAAGACCAAAGCCCCGACGGGCCTGGAGAGTGACAGCTCGGAGGCTGTGAAGATGGGGTCAAGATGGATATCCCATTGGATTTCAATTTCCCTCTGGTAAACCTTTGGAAAATTATGAGAAATCACCATTCTTAATGGGTAAATCAACGAACTAAATGGCAATTTTTAATAGCCATGTTAGTCATTACCAGAGGGTATATATCAGTATGTTGTTGCCAAAGGATCTTATTTTTGTTTAATATTCATATTGTTCTGATATAATGAATCCTATTATATTCCAATTTTATCTGGTTATAAGTGGGATATACACTTTTAGCATCTTTTAGCTCGAGGATTTTCCAGCTATAAACCTCCATTCATAGGGGATTGCAAATTGCTACGCTTGATTACCAGAGGGTACTATGATAAACCCAATCATCAACCTACCATTTGGGGATGGTTTTTATCACCCATTTGTGGTAATGTTAGGGATTGTTTATGGCCTTGGGTTTGTCACATGATCATGATTTGCCAAGATCGTGACATGTTGAAAAGACGGTCAGTGCACGTTGCTAGTGGAAATGGACATTGCCAACTGCGAGACCGCACGGTTGTGAAGCTCGCGCGGCTGGAATCAGTTATGCCTGTAATGTGAGATCAGCAGAGGCTGGGTGACCAACATCCCACTGCACTTTATCCGGTGGACTGAGATGTACCACTATTCTGTGGCTCTGCACAAACTTGAGAGAATCATTTGCTTCAAACGAATTGCTGCATTACAATTGAGGTTCACGTCTTTGTGGAAAGGCGAGAAAATAATGCGGAGAGAGAAAATTCAAACAATCAAATATTGAATACATATATATATATATATGTATGCATATGCATATATATATACATATATATATATGCATATATATATATATATACACATATATATATATATATATATATATCCACATTTATTTAGATGTCCTCTATGTTTGGACAAACCCATGCACAAATCCAGCACTCTCACGACTTTGCGCCAGGAGCCAGAGGAGGACTCCTCGAAGGAGAGCAAAATCAATGGGAACTTGGAACCCCCCCTTGTACTTGGATATCTGTCAGATGTGGTAAATCTGATGGGTTTCCACCAGATTTTTGGTGAGAAACTGTGAATGACCGAGATAAGTAGTGTAAGATGAATGAATTTTGCAATTTTCAGGTGCACACATTTCTTCACGGTCAATGTACAGCAAATGTCACCAGCATGGGTGGTTTCATCTTGAGGCCCGATAGCCCCCTTGCCTCATGGTTTGGTCTCATTTTGGGGGATAGCCCTGGTCGTAGTGACCCTTGTCCCGAACATAACGACTCCACAGGCTTGTAGGTTGCATGATTTTTGAGCCGTGGGTGTGCCTGAAAATGAGGTATAACCGTATAACCCTTTAATTTCAATGGGGAAATGATGATCAACCAGCAGATTTTAGGGGCTTGCTCAGACAAACCCGAGTATGTAGTTTCCCAACCACTAAAAACGGTGGTTGCCTCCAATTGCAGGAGGCTTCGACATCAGCTACAGGACATGTGGAGGCACGCCCGCTGCACCTCCAACCTGAGCTTCCATGGAATCCGCAGCGCCAGGTCCAAGAGACTGGCTTTTTCCAAACCCTGTGGCAAGGGGCTACAGCTGCCATCGGTGTTGTCAGGCGTGAGATTTTGCGGAAGATGAAGCGTTGTGAAGCCCAACATTTTGTTCTTTTTTGTAGAAAATAGCAATCTTTTGAGAGGGAATAACTGTGATGGTTGTACCTGAAAGTTATCCTGGATGGCACAGTGGCAAAGATGTGTCTTAGCCTCGCTGGGCTGATACCATTTAGGTTTGCCCAAGCAATTGGGGACTGTAATTGATTTCGAAACCTATTCTCTGAAGCATGGGATTTAAACAAGACCTTCAGCGTTTTCCTCATGAAAATTGCAAGTTTTGAGGAATGCCCCGTTTTGGAGTCGCAAATCCGGGAGTTTCTGATTGATTTCAGCCTCGCTGCTTCAGTGACATTGTGACTGCCATCAATGCAGAGACCGACTCAGAGGACTGGAAGAGGGGAAAATTTTCGGGGATTCCAATCGAAAAGAAGGACATTTTGAACGCATTTATGATAATCATTTATGGTTATGGCTACTACGGCTCAACACTTTGAAGCCCGTGGATAGTTAAATTCCGGCCGATCACCGAAGTTACCTCCATGGTTCCCCCATTGGCAGCAGATACTGCAAGCGTCACGCACCATGTGTATCCCAGGAGGAAAAAGCAGCGGAAGGCGCGGTGCTCAAGTTGTGCCAGGTTAAGGGTCTGTATGTATATACATATATGATCATATATGCATATATATATATATATTTGTTTTTGTACGTACGTATGTATATATATATATATCTATGTATCTATGTATATATGTATATATCCACATAATTCCGGACGCGTTCACATACATGAGCACCAGCTATTTTGTTCAGGTGGAGAGGGCTCTGATGCAGTCAGGAAAACCAGCTCCAAGGCTGAAGAGGAGGGCACCATCCATCTTTTCACGGGGAGGTTCTCCAGCAAAAATAGAGGTTCTACCAGCAACAACGCTGGTTTCACCATAGAAAATTGGGATTTTACCATCAGTCCTGTGGGTTTATCATGGTTCAACCGTTCTGAATTGGGATATGTATAGCCTATAAATTGTTAAGGTAATGCCAAACATTTTTTGGACTCCAACATGAATAGATCTAGTACTAAACCAGGATTGATAGGGAAATCTTTTTGTTTTTTTCGTGACATACCCATTGGTAGTTGCTTCAAGCCACATTTTTGGTTCATGCAAAAACCAACATTTTGTGGTTAACAACCCCGGTCAAGTTGTTTCTTAAACCAGCACGTGTTGCCACCAACAAATGACCTCATGATAATATGTTTTTCTGCCCCGGCCGAAAGAGAACTTTCGTTTGGGAGACACTTCTCCATGTCTCACTGCCGCAGGAAGAACAGTACATCGAGTGCCCAGATGACTGCTTTGATGGGTAATTTCTTGTATCTGGAAAATGGGTCTCAACTTAGAAAAGATATTTTTGATTATTTTTGATGTTCATTTCCTATTATTTGGTTGTTAATCCCAAGTTTTTGCTGTTGAAATCACCATGTTGGCTGGTGAAACAGTCCCAGTTTTTCTGTGGTTTCTTCATACCAGGTATGTGTCGCAGTTCTGCCTCTACCTGGGCATCGACGTGGCTGCGGAGCCCGATCTCATCACAGAGGTGGACGACTACCTGAAGCGCCCGCTGCCCGAGGGGTCCGGGGACTCAGCGGTGAAATTGGACTTGGCGACTTGTCTATGCTACTCCCGAATTGGGATTTACAGGGAGAATTTGATATCATGGAATATGAGGCAGTGTGTCATAACCTTGTACCCCTGGTGAACATCAAAATAGCTGGTAAATGGTGTTCATCCCCCTAAAAATGGTATTAATAGGTATTGATCCATACCCATATGAGGATATGTATGTATTATTCTAACATCGGAGTAGGTTGGTCGGGCAGGGTCTGCATTGTCTGCATGTGATGGATGGCTGGTTGACTTGGTGCCAATTTTGGCTCAAGTCAACCAGCCGACCTCATTCCACTCTTGTTATCCCTCCCTCCTCTCCCTGATCCCCTCTGCGGGGTGATGGGGGGGAGGGCTGTGTTGGGTTTCCAGCCCTCTCTACAGATTTTATCTCTGTTTGGTTTGGTTTGTGTCTAAGTCTTTACTTTGACACTTATAACTTTTCAAGAGTGTTAGGGATATCTGTGATACCTGACCTCTTGCATACCCATTGTTATTTAATAACAATGTACACGTTAGCACCTACAGCGGCACTGGCCAGACCGTCGTCTGTTTACCTAGCACAAGTGGAAAAAAGAGATAGCTGTGAGTCCTGTACATCCTCCCACCTTTTCTATATATATATATACATACATGTATACATGAAATATACTGGGAGAATGGGATATCATGGAATATGATGGTGTATATATATAATATGATATATGTATATAATATATAGATATATTCAACAGACAAAATGACATATGGGTGTGTCCTATATGGAGGATCCCTTTAAAAGCGTAATTTGATCGGATAAATAAATGATCATCAACCATCAAAATTGGGTTGTCTGAAAATGGGGTATACCCCACCAATTTGGACGGGTGATCATCATTGTTCTCGTTTCAATGGTCATTTTGGGGTACTGTATACTCATTTTCTGGGCGTTTTGAAGTAGAATGGGGTAGTTAAACAAGGCCTTAAACAACAGAAGTGAGTATTTGAGAAGTAAAAGTTGGGATCTGACCAACAAACATGGTAGCAAACGTGGTGATTGAGTCAAGAAACATGGGAATCAAAGCACCCAAAGCTGGTCAAACCCCCATGGCAATGGGATTGTCCTTGTGGGATTCTCCTATCGCGCCATTTTTCCACGACGTGCGCAATAACTGACCGATGTCCGACCGATGTCAGGTGGTCGACACATCAAACTGGGGAAGATTGTGAATATGGAGCCGGATATACGTGCCCATGAGCTGGACTTATCTGGACATGCTAGAGCCAGTTGATGTTTCGTTGTCGTCTGCAGATGGGTTGAATCCAGTGGTTCATCCGCATTTTCACTGTTAAAATGGCCATCAATTGGAGGTATGCCGCGGGAAAGGCCCCATTTTCAGACACACGCAAGTGTCATATTCCCATTATCTATACCATCAATTCCATTCAATTCCAATTTAATCCAATTTTTGTTGGTGAAACCTTCCTTTGTTGATGCTCTTGATGACGCGTTGTGTCCAGCTTTGTGTCAGGTATTTCATGAATGCTTCGACAGGGAAAACTCAATGGACTCGACCAGATGAGGATGTGACTTGCTGAGAGGAGGGTTGGAGCAAATGGTGGCCTTGTTTTTGGGAGGGGATCTCCACCTTCCCTCGCCTCTGGCTTGGGGTCTGGGGTGATGGATATCCGAATGATAGCCCCACAATGGTTACCGTCTGGTTATGACTAACATAGCCATGGAAAATCACCATGTTTAATAGATAAACCATCTATTTCTATGGGCCATCCATGATAGCCCATTTATAGATGGTTTACCTATTAAAAAATGGTGATTTTCCATGGCTATGTTAGTCGTGGTCACGCCAAGGAGTTCCTGCAACACTTGCGAAGCAAGATGAAACGCAAACCCACGGCAGGGGGCACCTAGTTCAATGGCACCTGTTCAGCGTCCAAGGTGATTGGTATGTGTTTAGTGAACTAAATGGGATGAAGATGGACAAGGGGTCAATAGACTCTTTTTTTCTGCTCATTTCATGATTCAACCGATTGATCTAACGGAAAAAATACAAGTACATACAAGTACTCCAAATACTTAAGCCATGATTTCATGATTTTTAAGCTCCCAAAAAGGGGCGTTGGTCACGATTTTCCCGAGCGAACTTTTTGCTTTGCCGAACGCTCGAGGCAGGAAGTCGTCTCTTCTTTGCGGAGTTTCGGGACCGCAACCGCCGGGAGAAATGGGCCGCGCTGGAGGATCAGGCACCCCGGCAGCTACCACTTGTTGTGTCTTGCTTTCATCAGCAGCAAACACATTGTATCAGTAATACTAAGTTGCCAACAAGGGATATCATTAGTTCCCCATTTGGCCCACATCTGGTATTTTTATGTATTTTCATATGGAATAGTAGTTGTAATCTCTCGTTCATGGCAATAGTTGACCAACCAATACCAGTATTACATGACCATTTCTTTTTCCCCCTTCGCAAAACCCCTCCTGGAGCTGCAGATCGACCATCTGTCGGGCATGCGGCCTCTGCTGAGGGCGCTGCCGGAGGTGTGACAGGGGTTTTGGAGTGGGGGGGTACCCAGTAGCTGGATGGATAAAAATGTGTTGTCCAAGACGACCCCTCTGGGCGAGGGCCTGTGTGATTGTGGAGCCAGCTGTGGCCATTTTTTCCTTGTCCTCACAGCAATAGCTGTTTGGTCCAGTTGGAGTTGTTCTTTTGATGTGGGTTTCATTTACAAATCCCACGAAAAATTGATGATTTGGGGGTACCACCATTTCAGGAACCCCCCAAAAGAACATTCAACCATAACACATGGAGGTACCACCACAGTCATGGTACCACCAAATCACCCAAGTTATTCTGTAGATTTGAGTGTTGAAACCCGTGCTGATTTGGGGATAAAGAAATTCTAGGAACTCCCCATATTAGATTTCAACTTGTTAGCCATCAACAATTGTCATTTGACCACAAAAAGTAGGGATTTACTTGGCCGAAATGGAGAGGTAACCAGAAACATATATAGATTTAGCTGATGAATAGTGGAAATGTGTTTGTCCAAAAGCGGAGGATATCCTACCAATTTTAAAGTAGTACGGATTTATCCCCAAATTATGGCAATTTGAATGGGAACCATGGCGGTTGATCAGTGCTTTCCTTGGGTGTACTCTGGTTTTGGACAAGGCCATGTGGTAAACCCAGAAAATACCCGGTCAAAGCATCCGGTCCATCATTATGTCTTGTAAGAGTGGCGTTTGATAGGGGTAGCTGACCAACTGCAATCACAACTGCGATCATGACATGTCAAACTTTAAACTGCTGTAATTTGGGAACCATTTCGTTCTTCCATTTGATAAAGCAAGGACGATGGGCCCCATTCTCATCTGAGACCAGTGTGCCAGGGATCAGCAGAACCAGCTCATGCGTCAAGCAGTGCGCCGAGTAAACATGGAGCTGCAGGTGACTGTTTTGGTGAAATCATCGCTGACACGGGTTCTGAAAATAGGGGATATCATGGGATAGCCCCATGTATTGGAAGGGAATTTCTGGTGATGAAAATCCCCTGGAAAAACGGGGATTTTCTCCAATATTTTCAGACGCCAGATGTTTCACTGTTTCCCAAGAATCATCGACTGGGAGGTATCTTTCACGTGGTGCTCTACAACCGTTTCCCAGTGCTCTATCCCGCTGTGGTGGAGGCTGTCAGTTCTGACGACCTGCTGACCTGCTCACGATTGTTGGACCAAAACCCTTTGCTTCACTGTAGTTCCAACACAATTCTTGATATCATATAATATATAATAATAAATATGTGTGTGTGTATGTATATATATATATATACACGTATAGACCGCATGCGCATTTTTTTCGTTATCTGCGATATGATATACCTAAATACATATAATCATATAAACATATCTCTTCCACATATACTCATAGCAGTAATAATGATAATGATGATAATGATAATGACAATGAGATAATGATACTGATACTGCTGCTGCTGCTGCTCCTCCTACTGCTACTACTACTACTACTACTACTACTACTACGACCACTACTACTACTACTACTACTACTACGACTACGACTACGACTACGACTACGACTACGACTACGACTACGACTACGACTACGACTACGACTACGACTACGACTACGACTACGACGACGACGACGACTACTACTACTACTGACAAAAATAATGATAATAATGATAATGACAATAATAATACTACACGCATAAATGTATAGATAAATATATATGTAAATGCATAAAGAAGAATGAATAAATAAATGAATAAATAACTAAACACATAAATAAATAGATAACATAAATCAATAGACCAATAAATAAACAAAATAAACAACGCATCATAATCACACACCACACAGATCACCGATTTCTGCAGATTTCCGTCGCTCCGTCAGGGCTTCGCCAGTTACTTCGGGCTGGGCTCCGTGGCGCAGTTCGCGGCGGCCGAACTGAGACATTTTTGGGTGGCCAAGGCGAGACCGTGGATGGAAAACTCATGGGGGTAGCGGTTGAAGCTTTCGTTTCACCGTTGCAAAATGCCTCGAAAGCCGTTCGAAACATGGAGTTTTTTTTCGGATCAAATGTGGTTGAAACATCAAAGATGGTGGTAAAAAAACATCCCAGAATGGGACTTGAAACGTCAAACATGGAGATTAATAGTGTGATTTAATGATTAAAGATACAGCATTGTTGATTGGCTATGGTTGGTTGCGATATAGAGTTGCTTATACTGTTATGAACCTATCTAGTCTCTTGGGGATTATGCTGAGCCATCATGAATACAAACTACCTAGGTCAGGAACCAGTATTTTGTGGGATGGAATCTGATGATTTAACCACACAAAATGGCTTCTGAACATGGGGATTTAAACCACAGATACGGGTGACAATGGGGATTATTGGAAACCATCCCAAACGTTTTTTGAGTTTCAATTGAACCAGAGCCGGAGATGACCGAGTCTGACTAGCGAAAAAGATGGGTCGTATCTGACTTCAAGTGCAATCAAAAATTATTCCATCCTGACTGGTGCATTTCCTCGGCAGATTGCTGCGCTGTGTCCAGCAGTTTCCTTAGCCTCAACTTGAGAACAGAAGTGACAGGTCTCCCAGGATAAAATCCAGTGAATCTCCAAAGTGCCAGAGGTTTTCTGCGGCGTTTCAATGCACTTTAGGGAGAACATGTCATTCAGCGATGAGATGACCTCCACACAAAGATGCACACTGAGGTGCCGAGTGGTTGGGAATTCAAGTTTGATGAGACCTCCACTACAGCCACCCCAGCAATTGCCGACGTTCGGCCGTCGCCGGGTCATCGAAATCACCAATCAGTTTCCATAGGAAAGCCACCACTGCACCGCCAGGCGGTCTTTGTTGATCAAGGAGCTGGTACGGTGCTCTTGGCATATCCTTTGAACATCTTTGAACCACTTCTAAATTGTGTGATGGAAGGTTTTATAATGTTTTATAATGTTTTATTATATAATTACACTATTATACAGACAACAAGCCACTTGTATCCTTGGGATCCTTGGGATGTCATAGTGGCCAGGCCTCTCGACATCATCCCATGGACGCTTTCTTCGCAGGCTGGCAATTCACAATGACCAATTTATTGATGACTATCCCATATTTTCCCCAAAAAGAAGCGATGTGAAATTACCAAAGGGTACCCACTCATGTCGCTGCTTAGTTCTGTGTGTAATATATATATATATGTATATATATATGTATATATATATATATATATGTATGTATGTATGTATATATATTATAAAATCCCATCACCTCTAGCAATTTATATGGTTGTATACACCATCCACGCCTCGCTGGAATGGTGTCTGGCACCTTGCAGGTTTACTGGAAAGGCTTTTGTCAAGACATCGGAGTGTCGAGGCCTACGGAACGTACAGAACCGGAGGAGAAGATCTTCCCAACAACAATGATCTATGAACAAACAGCAGCTGGGAATGCCAAGAAACAGTCACCAAAATTGGATCTTCTATATTCTCTATATTCTTTTGTCATTTCATGGGTGGGAAAGAAATACACAACTCCAATCATTTTTTTGCCCTTCCACCAATTTTAAAATTGGCGCTGTTTTCCCATCTTCGGATGGTCATCAACTCAACAGGGATTGACCATTGACGTTGCGTGCCTTGATCCACGACATTTTGGATCAGCGTGGGCTCATCCAACATGATATGAATAGTGGTGTACCATTATTAGCATTGTAGCATTGTAGCATTGTTATGGTATAATAATCCGATTAATCCGCCAATTTTGATGTAGTTTTCACCATTGACGCGTTACGCGTAGTTAGCGTGGGTCCCGGTCCCAAAGAATCGCGCCAGGCCGCGGAGTCGCAACGACTGGGCCAGGCCATAGCTCTTGGAAGCCAGGTGCGGTCGGTGCGGTCGTGGGATGTCTGTTGAAACCTCCATGTTTTGGTCCTTGGATCTGCATTTGTTGGTTAAACCATGGAACGATCAGCAGTAAACAAACCATGCCTGAAAATTTGGCGAAGAATTCTCTTCGAAATGCTGGCGAACGGCGCCTCGAAGATGGTCTTCTTCCTGGACTCGCGCAATGGCACACCGTACTGGCTGCAGTTTGGAACCTGGTTCCGCCAGCTGAGACGTGGGTTTTGCTTGGTGACTTTGATACTACATTGGTGGTATCAAAGTTTGGGTTAAGATTTCATAATCATAAACAAATTGGAAGAGCCGGAAAATGAGCCCTTGGAAGATGCCCCAGTTTACTCAACTTTGATTCAAACGAATTCTTTTGGTATCCCCATGTTGGTCATGTTTTCAGGTATGGCGCCAACGCAACAGCCTGGACTGGACCTTTGCCCTGGCAGACCAAGCCGGCTGGGGGGCTTGAGCTGGCTTTAGCCATGAAAAGTGGATGAATTTGCCAAACAAGGGCGAGTGAAACTACCAAAACATAGGGATTAACCCATCACGAATTGGTTTTTTACCATCAAACATGGGGATTGTACCAATGGAAACGGTGCTTTCGCGAAGAAACATTTGATTTGAGAAGCAGAAGTGGAGATATTTGGCCAGCAGCAATGGGCCATATGGAGATTCCAATGATACACCTGAAGAACATGGCTGGTTGACCACCAATAGTCACTAAAATTAGCCAGCCAAACCCTGAGAACGCAAGATGGGGATTGATTCAGCGAGAAAATTGCGGCTGTCACAAGCAACATGGCATTGAACCACCGAAAGATCCGACCAGCAAAAAAAGTTACCCACACTTGATGGTCGATGTCAGAAGGAAAACCCATCATATATGGAAAGTGTCCTAGAGTCTCCTGTCCCATTCTTGAGTTCTATTGGTGAAATCCATTCATGTCCATAGAAGACCAGGCATTTTCCCTGTCTAATCATGGGATCCACTTGGATGATTTTCAGATCCATGGAGGTAACACCATTAGATCTGGTCTCTAAAAATCAAACCCATGATTTTTTTAATGATTTTTCGATGTTATAGCAGCCATAAAAAAACCATTTACAGCCATTTTTATAACCGACTGATCAATGGTTCTTTTTTAGCGAAAATTCTCCGCGACTTCCGAGGCCAAGAGAGAGCCACAAGCAGAAGCGCCACGTCGAGAGCCCCAAGCGCCATCGCCCCGGAAGCCGCCCCGAGAGCCATCGCCCCGCCCGGAGAAAACAGGAGTTGCTGCAAGTTGCTATTTGGGTTTGTCTGAAAATAGTGTACCCCTACACCCAATGGTTAATGATCATTATCCCTACTAAATGGCTATAATTGGGGGTATACCCCATTTTCAGACATACCCATTTGCTTATGGGAATAGTTGACAGCTTTCATACTTGGAGGGTGACCATTCTTGTTCCATTTATTGATTTTTGGCGACGTTACTTTTGCAGCTATTTGGCCAACTGGAGCTGTATAGTCCTGTGCTCGAGCTGTATAGTCTTGTGCACACCCTTCCTTCGTCTATTCGCAGTTGTGCTCCACTTTCTTATCATTTGACAATCTCCACCATCACTATGATCATCACAAAGAAGAAGAAAAAGAAGAGGAGGAGGAGGAGGAAGAAGAGGGGGAACATGGGAAAAAGAAGGGAAGAACCAGACGTCATACTTTTGACATTTGATTATGATGGCCAGGGCGACCACGACATCACCATCACCATCCGCATGCTGGTTGTGTCGCAACGTAGACACCTGATTCCGCAGGACCCGAGCCGCCTACATCTTCGCAGCCGGCGCCTGGGCAGCCCGGGCTGCGGGATGCGGCTCAAGCCACGCCCAAGCCGGGGACTTCAGCTGATGGGGGATGCTGATGAGATCAGAACCTTGGTAGTTTGACAGGAAAGTAGCTGGTTTTTATGAATGTTCATCCCCTAAATACTTAGGCTCTTAGGTTTTTGTCTCATCCCCAAATGGTAAACCATTGGAACAGCATCTGGAAGAATCCCAACGTTCAATGATGAAATGATGAACTAGATTTTATGATAGTGGAACATCATCTGTAAATTGGGGATCTTAGGATAATTGCCGGCTTGGATCGCCGTAAGAGCAACCATTGATCGGCTGGTTGGTGGCGATGTGATGCCAGCAGGTGATCATAAAGTCTATTCTGGAGATCCAACAAAATACTGCCATGCACGGATTTCCTGTGGCTGAAAAAAATTCTCCTGCACTCCATGTCTTGGTTAGTAGTTGCTCATGCTTGATGGAGAGTATCATAAAGGGAATATTAGGAAATACTTATGAGTTTCGGTGCGCAAAAAAAAACTTTATCCCAACTCCTTAACCCAACAGTTCCTGATTCTTCACCAATGATCCCGGGTGCGGCGCGGGGTCCATACCGGCTATGCCCCAAAGTCGGTGAGTTCCGAAGGTATGTGGACCCCTTGCGCCATGCGGCTGGAGGAGTCTGCATCTTAAGGGGTGGGTCCAGCTACAAAATTACAAAAGGGGATCCAAACCTACACTCCTACAAGAATGATCTTGTAACCTGCAATCACTGGGTACCCAAGAACAACTATTTAACCTTTGTGGGGATGGAACTACAGCTATATACCACATAAAAAAACCACCAGATTTTAGGGGATGAACATCCAGTTATACCAGCTACTGTATTTTGGTGTGAAAACCAGGGGTACAGGTTTTGACACATAGCCACTTTGACGTTTATTAGAGTAGCACGATGAATTGAAGGATGATGAAGGATGGAAGGGAACATGCAATGACCTTTATAAGACCTGAAAAAAAACAGATGGAACGGTAGGAGTACCAAGATTCGGCACCGAATCCACAGTCTTGGAAGGAAACAATCCTGTGAATCCTTCTCTGAATCATTCTTTCTTCGACTTCAGACCAATAAGCTGACAAGATATGGTTACAGTATGTTACAGTGTAGTGGTTTGAACTTTCCGATAGTTATTATATACACTCTGGTAATTTAACATAACTATGGAAAATCACCATTTTTAATGGGAAAACTCACTATAAATGGCCATTTTCAATAGCTATGTTAAATTACCAGAGGGTATATGTTATAACCAGGTGCCCTGTCACTCTATTTTCCCAGGCCGAGATGGTCCCCCACTCTGACCTCGCACCACCGGAACCGCCCATGGGCCCGGCGACACCCAAAGCACCACCCACGCCGAAGTCAGGGACTCAACGGGAGGTTTGGTTAAGGGGAACACATCATCGAACTAGCATCCCGGTGGCACACTTTTTGACATCTTTTTTGGGGGGTTGAGATAGTTGATGTTTGGGGGTTCCACGAATCCCATCACCCTTTTCGATGGTTGACACATGTTTACAGCTTCCAACCATGGTGGATGTAGGGGATGTAGATGGATGTAGGGGATGTAGGGGATGACACCCCTATTTAAGGGACCCTACAATGGGGGTGTTGAAGGTTTGCCTCAAAATTGGGGATTCGCCGGTGGATTGGGGGTACCCCATTTTTGGACAGAAGCGCTTTTTGGATTGGCCCAACATGTCTTACTAGGGAGCACCTGGCCATTTTTAGGGGATGAATCACCAGCGGATGTTGAACATGTTCAGTTTTTCACCACATCTTAGGCTCGCTTCAGCTGGTTAAAGGGTCAGTCCAGAAAAATACCATACCAGGCACGTTTCCTCAACCAACAGTCCAAAATATGGAGTTGTTTTTAAAGTCTGAAACCCCATTCCATCCTATGTGGAAATCTTCCCCCCATTAGCATCATCCTGGCAGGCAGGAAGTCGAGGGCAAAGAGACCCCGCGACAGGCAGCAAGCGGCCGGCGGTGATCTGGCGGGATAGGCGTATGGACTCACGATGACTCACGTATTCATGGTATGATTGGTCAAACCATTCACAACTACCAACTGTGTGCGACACCAGGGTGCCAGGGTTTTGACCTCATAGCCATAAACATGATGACAAAAGGAGGCGCCATGGCTTGTCAATTTGGAGGAGGCTGCGGAAAGTGGTGAAAGTGACCCTGAAGCTGGAGAAAAAGAGACGCCAGAAGAGGAGCCGATGATCCCTCAAAAGATTGTTGATGATTTGACATTGGATGGTTTCACACTAAACATCAACCAATCATTTGGCTCCCCTAAAACGTCCCCGTTTTTTGAGCCACACTGAGCCATTCACTGGGCTGGCTTAGGGGCAGAACATCAGGAACCCACACTTCTTTCCACAAAATCTTGTTTTTTCTCCGTAGATTTCCCCTTTATCCAACTGTGGAGCAAGTCAAGCTCCACAAGATCAGGAGGAAAGCACATTGCTGCACCCCGAGGCAAGCTGAATTCATTGTTGCCTTGACGGCCCTAGTCAGAAACCATGCACAAGCCTGTAAGCCAACAAAGCTGCTATTTTTCTCGATTTTAAGGGGAACCATTTACGGATAGGAAATCACATGCAAAGCTTTTGGCGTCCGCATTGATTGATTTGAGGATTTGAGTTCTTTTCAACACATTTCCGGCCAGTTCTGAGACCTTAGTTTGATTCTCACCTTGACTTTGCTGCTGGCAGAGGCAGACTCCGGTGAAGCAGATGCAGCCGTAGCCGCAGCAGCCGAAGCTGCTGCCGAAGCTGCCGAAGCAGCGCCAAGTCCAGAGTTGTTGGCCCCAGCTGTAGCTTCACTTTGAGACACGGTAAGATCTAGAGATGATGTGGCCAATATGGCCCCAAATGTGAACCACTTCCAATGTTGGACCAGTCCAGCATAACATTCAATGGGATGATATTCCGTCGTGCTTCTTGATAATTGACAATCACAGTATTCTATATATATATATATTATATTATATACATACATATGAACACCATATTGTGAGAACAAGAATTCAACATTTATTGAGTTTGTGTGAACACAGGATACCCAATTCCGATATTTTTTTCCCCAACATATTTTTCCCATTATGTAGTTCATGGCCATTTTCCTGGGGGTCATCCTGGAGTTCAATATATATATATATATATTTCCATAGTTGCTGGTTCATGCCCCCGACATGCTTGCAGATGATTGGTAGTGATTTCTGGACTCCCCCAAAAAGATGCCAAGTGTGCCGCCAGGATGTTACTTCGATAACGTTTCCTCCATAGTTTCCAGGTGTCCAAGTTTTCCATCGACCTTTGGTTGCCATAAATCATGATCCGGTGTCATCAAACATTGGGAAAATCGAGCCAATGGAGGTTTCATAGAATTGGATGATGGGAAAATTTACAGGAAACCCCTGTATTTGATGGTAAAAACCATGGTTTCCTGTAGATTTTCCCTTAAACCAATCCATTGAAGGTTTCAATAGACAAATCATCGAAACGGTCCATTTTCCAGCCATCTTCGAGTACCGGAGAGCCGGAGAGTTCATCCTCACGTCCTTGGCTCAGGGCCGCAGTTTCGTCCAAAGAGGCCGAAGAAACTTTGCTTCCAGAGGCCCGAATGATCGATTTGCTCAGGAATCCCGGGGAAAACAACAACAATATCATGAATCATGATGATAATGATAATGATACTAATATATACTAATAATAGCAATAACAACAATAGTAACAAGGACGATACGTATGTATACATATGTTCACTCTTGTACTATTGGGGATGGTTTTTGCTGTTCAGCGCATTCTACCCTTGGGTCCATGGATCATCCTGGGATTTTTCGCATGATCCAAGCTTGCCTGCCATCTACTTCAGGAGGGGTATACGATGTATGGATACGATTGATAAAGACATACGTATTTGTAAATTACACAATACACATATATGTATAAGCATGTACACCGTATGCAGATTTACATGACAGTGTCTTGGCATCACTACCTTACTCTCAACCGTCTTAAGTATTTATCTACTGACTCCTCCAGGCCCCAGAAGCTGAAGCGCTAGCGGAAACTGTTGATGAGCCTCAGCTGGAGGAGTGCTGATCACAGCCAAAAAATTTGCATACTGGTGATTTCACCATGAACAATTAGGGATTTAAACAACTGAAAGACGAATTCTGTGTCTGAAAATGGGGTATGTCATCCCGGTCTGTGGCCATCAACTAATGAGGAAAATGATGTTCTAATCCATTGGAATTGAAATTGGAGGATATTGCAGGTATAATATATATATTATAATAATATAATATATATAATGTATAATATATAATATATAATATATAATATAAAATATATAATATAAAATATATACTATATAATAATATAATATGAAATGATATAATATAATATAGTTTAACATAATAATATAATATAATATAATATAATATGATATAATATAGTATAATATAATATAATATAATATATAAAATATAAAATGTAAAATATAAAATATAATATAAACTATAATATATAATATAATGTAATATAATATATAATATATAATATAACGTAATATAATATAATATAATATAATGTAATATAATATAATATAATATAATAATATAATAAAATATGATATGATATGATATGATGTGATATTATATGATATGATGTAATAAAATAAAATAAAATATAATAAAATATAATATAATATAATATAGTACAATATAATATAATATATTATATTATATTATATTATAATATAATATACGCAATATAATATAATATAATATAAGATAAGATAATATAATATAATATAATATAATATAATATAATATAATATAATAATATGTATATATATAAATATCATAACATAGTATATTTAATATATAATATATGTGTATATATATATATGTTATATATATATATACATATTATCAGAGGCCCATATTATTTGAGTGGGCAGTTTGAGGAAGGACTCCAACGGGAAAGTTCTGAAAGGTGCTGTCAGCTATCAACTCACCTGGTGTTCAGCAGGGGCTTCGAATACTCCGCAGGGTTTCTTATTGGTCTCGTTCCAGCCGTTGGCCAGAAGTGGTTTCCATGTTGCAGGAGGATGAAAGCACATTGCCGCAACCGGAGGCAAGGCGAAATTTACCTTGCCTTAGTCATGGGCCTTGAATCTCAGCCATTCGCAAAGGCGGAACCTGTTGAAGCGGCAGACGCAGCCTCACCAATGGAAGAAGCTGTCAGTGCTGAAGCATCACCAACCCCAGTGTTTCTGGCTCGGTCTGGGATTTTTGCAGCTCGAACATTTCTGGATTTTGCGAAATCAAATGCCATGAACACATTTCACATATTTCACTTCATACTGCCTCGACACTTTGTATAACATGGAGACCCAGAGTTGAGGCCTGAACATGCTGAGCCTGCTGAACCTTCGGTGGAGGCCATGCTTGCACGACCTTGATGGATCAAATTCCAGTGGTATGTGCGCATGATCCTTGACAAAGAGAGTGTGCCAAAGTCTCACCATAAATCAGAGCCAAATCACTTTGTCTTGAAATAAGGCCGATCAGGTCCCTCCAAATTTGATGCTATGTTCACCATCATTTCCCCCTTCAATGACCATAAGGTACAGGTACTCCCAGATGTTCACCATCATTTCCTCCATGAGTCAGGCGACGTCCGCAGAAGGTCCCACTGAGGCTGCCTAAGAGGGAGGTGGTGAGGTACCCCAGGGTAAACATAGAAACAGATGTGGAAAATCCATTGGGAAAGCCTGGCAAAATGATCTATAAATGGTCGGCTTTCCACATCTTTTTGATTCTTTTTGTATGTCTACGGGAGGGCAATCCATAGCTGCTGTTCCTAACGTTGATTCTATGATATTCTATGACTATGAAGTCTACCAACATCTACCAACTACACGAAGGTTTGGGACAGCATGAAATCACAGTGACCAACTTTGATCCAAAGCAAAAGATGACTATCCTGATTGGATTTGTCAGGAAGCGCCGGCAGAAGTACCAGAGGCGCAAGATGTGCAGCATTCTTTCTTCTCCCTGCATTATCTAGATGGGTATGTCTGAAAATGGGGTATACCCCCAATTATAGCCATTTAGTAGGGATAATGATCAGCAAAACCATTGGGTGTAGGGGCACACTATTTTCAGACAAACCCAGATGTTTGATCTCCAAATGCATCCCATATGAAGTGATTTCAAGTTAGGTCATTTTTTGTCAGATCCGATGAAGCTGGTGACTCACTTTGGACGCTCAAAATGTCACAAACCTCAACAGCATCTAACATCATATCAAATGTCCTCCCAACCAACCGGTCACAAAAACTAACCAACCCTTAACCACCCTGAATTGGTTGAACCTTGAAAGGGTTTAGCACCTTAGTTGACAGCCAGTCTACCAATGGTTTCAACTTCCGATCTTCTAAAACAAAAAAAACTAAATTCCCAATTTCTGGTTCGAATCCCCATTAAGAAAAACAAGAACACCCCAGTTCCACTATTTGATGGTTATATAATGTTGTATATGTTACATACGTATATACACACACATACACACTGTATGTGGTGTGTATATATATATATACCACATACATAATATAAAATAATATAAAATAATAGCCGTAGAATTTAATCCATTGATTGCCATTGAATTTTATTGATATCTCAACTTCTCGTGACAGGTGCCCTCCTCGCCGCGCTCCAGCAGCCTCTTCTCCCTGGCCGAGCAGCTGCAGCTGCAGCAGGGCGACGAGCCGCGGCGCATCGTGGAGATTCTGGAGGAGTTGGAGCGGATCCCGGTCACCGTGGAGCTGTTGAGGTCGGACAAACATGTGTTTTTTGATGGGGAAAGTTGGGGTTTTCACTAGTTGAACTGATGTTTTTCGCGGAAAACCAGGGTTTTGGTGGGTTTTTCACTAGCTGAAGTGCTGATGTTTGGCGGGTAAACCAGGCTTTTTTCATGGTATTTGTTGAAAACTCCGGCCGGTTGACGATCTGAGGATCAGTTTTTGTTGTTTTTTTGGTGAATCAGAGGCAGATTTTTCGATCCGGAGACTTTGATCCAGCTATGGCCAGGCAGACACAACTCGGTGTGATCTCGCAACCCTTCAAGGACGGTAACTGGAGGGATGGGAATTGCCCATCCGATTCCATGGGGATGACCATATCCATATCCACAGCAAGGGCAGCATGGGCAGCGAGCCTAGGATCATGATGACGCAGATGTCCGGAAGGTGGCCAAACGGCTGAGGCTGGGATTGATCCCTATGGCAATCTATGGGGAGGAACAAGCTCCATGTGACCACTGGGGGGATGAAGAACCTCGTCATAGCAGCTACTTTTCTGGCTACCAAGGTTTTTACCCATACCCACATATCATGCATTGATGCCCCAGTCAAAGATTTTTGCAGAATGAAGCAATACAACTGGGTTGTTGGTGGCGCGGTCCTACCGACCAAAGTCGCGGGTGCAAGAGTCAAACTGGAGACCCAATAAGAATCTCTTCTCACATGAAACATGAATCGAAACCCTGGTGGAATGTGAACTGGATCATACTGGATCTATTTATTTTGGCAATCCTACATGGCTTACTGGAACATTCCCCATCTAGTTCCATGATTTTCCCAACTGCCATGACACCAGGGTGGAATATCCCCATTCGGGCCCAGGAGAAGTTGGAAAGACCTCATTGCAGCCACAGCCGAGGCGAACGAGGTGCCACTCTTAACCTCGGTGAGTTCTGGTGCCAGGTTGGAAATGTCCAAACATTTGGGCCCCATTGGGCCCCAGGATATTCTGCCATGGAAGATATGGAAGCAGCCGCTTTCATCATTTTGCCCGGAAAATGTCGCGTGTGTTGGCTCAAGCGTTTGGCTCTTCAGTGCTGAAAGGCTTAGGGCGGCTTGGCTTTTTTGAAGCGAAAACGCCCAGAGATGCCCAGAGATGTGGTCCCATTCTATCACTACACCAGTGATGAAGGATTGAAAGGGATCCTGAAGGATGGCAAGATTCAGATCTCAGATCCTTCCCGAGGAGATGCCATTGAGGGCCCAGGTGCCTATGGCACAAAGTATCCACCTTCCAGCCGCACAAAGACCGTCGCCCAAAACAACTGGGATAATGGCTGGAAGCGTGCCATAGAGCATGGCAAAATGAAGAACTACATCAGATGTGAGGTGCCTCGCAAAGAGGTAAAAGAGTGTAAGGGCCATGGAAACAATAGAGGTCGTGGAGGACGTCCCGATGGGATTCTGGTCCACCCACATGGCATTGATCTCAGCAAGTACAACACCAAGATAGGAAGAAGGGGAGAGCACACGGTCTCCAAGGCTTTTCCTTTTGATCCTGAAGCAATCCGCAAGGCCATGTATCCTGATAGCACTCAGACCAGACAGCCACCAGCCAGCAGCTATGCTGGTGTCCTTCGTCCTCCATATCTGAGCCAAAGCACATTGAGCCACAGTTTGATTGGCAGTGATGATGAGCCACACCATAGTGGCCACAACCGTGCTGGCAACTACTATGAGGCTTTTGGAGATGGGTCATATCGCTATGAGAATTTGGATGGCTCTACTTATGAGTGCGATGGAAGTGGTCAGGCAGTGTACACAGCGCCAGATGGTGCAGTTACCGAGTACACGTGGGCTGAGAACAGTGGTGATGGTGGCTATGTCCACAGCGATGACTCTGGCGATGGTGGCTTCCCTGTCGGCACTTGCGTGGTTGATGATGAAAGCGACTATGCAGATGCCGCAGGGGATGCCGATGATGCTGGTGACCACTACGGCGATGACTCTGGCGATGGCTGGGATTGTGGCGATGACTATGATGACTATGGCGAAGACGATGATGACTGGTAAGTCAACATGCTCAGGGCAGAAATGCAATATACATATATAATTATATATATATATATTTACTTGAAAGCTTGTTGCTGGGGCCCACGCCTGCGACTTATTTCAACGTTCGTGTGTTTTTAGGCACACGCTCGTGGCATTCCTGTGGCCAGGCGCTTCTTTTCAACACATTCGAAGAATCAGGGGGCAGTCTGGGTGGTGTCCAATACACTCCTGTCACGCCCAGCCTGCATTTTCATTTTTGATCGCCAACAACAGATTTGGTGAAGGGGGCTTGCAAGTTTCGGCTAAACAAGGCTGTGACATGCGAAGAATAGGTTTCAACCTTCCAGAAACGGAGGGACACGTGACATCTTGTGGAAAAGAAAATGCATTGTGGATTGGACCTATCTCTCTGTCTTTCTCCCTCTCTATGTATATATATACACATACATAAACCATCATAAACGCACACACACACACATATATATATATATATCCAGGATTATATCCTTCTCAAAGTGGTTTTGCTGATCTTTTTCTATCCCGAAATTTGCCTTCACCGGGCGAGGCACCTATGCCACCAGCCGAAGAGGCTGGGAATGGGCTGGGACTGGCGAGGTCGGGGCAATGACCCCTGGTTGAGAATGAAGCAACGACTGATTTATTGGAACATTTACCCTCTGGCAAACATAGCTATTGAAAATGGCCATAGAAATAGTGGATTTTCCCATTGAAAATGGTGATTTTCCATAGTTATGTTAGTTTACCAGAGGGTATACGTAAACTATGTGTAATTTGGAAACGGAAACACTCGGAGTAGGAACTTCCCCAAAAACAACAATGATTCCAGTAAAGAAAGGTGGTATTTCATCAACCAACCGGAGTTTTTTGACTCTAAGGTTCCGGTTACCAGGCAGCAGCCATCTTTATGAATAGCAATCTGCAGCACCTGAAAGCTCACCTGAACGTTACGTTTGTGACAAGAAGTGAGCCTTCTAGTAAGTACCCTCTGGTAAACTAACATAACTATGGAAAATCACCATTTTTAATGGGTAAATCCACTATAAATGGCCATTTTCCATAGCTATGTTAAATTATATACCAGAGGGTAACTTTAAACATGCTGTAGTTTTCCATTCTACCCGACAGGATGATCCCAATGTTTTTCTTTTGTGATTTCTGAACGGGTTGAGAGCCGCAGGTGTCGATGCCGGACACTGCCGTTGCACCTGAAGCCCAGCATGGCATGGTCAAGTGCTCAGCTGCTGTTTTTATGGATTTTTAGACTTGGAAATTTTCGGGATCGACCCAGACAAAATGGGGAATCAACCATAAAAGATTGGGATTTAACAATTTTAACATGGTTTTCTCACCCCAAAATTGGAAGTTGACTGAAAAACCATCCAAAATGGTGATTTTTCACCAGAAACACGGGGATTTCCCTGGTGGAAAGAGGGATTGACTCATCCCAAACGGGGATTTTGCTGAGTTGCCCAATGGATTGAGGGGTCGCCTCTTTGGACAAACACAACTGGATAAAACTCGCTGAGGATGTGGTTGTTGTAGCCCAAACTTTGCAAACATCCACCATATATACTTGCGTTTGTCACAAAACGACACTAGTTTTTTGTTTCGCAACTTTCGGACAAAGCTGTCCTATACCCCAGTGGTGATATGGGTTTGTCCAAATATAGGGCATCGCATTCCATACCATTCTTGGTGGCGAAGACTTTCTGGCAATCAAACATGGGCCCCAGGGCTGGAAAAATCTCCCATGTAATTCGCTGATTTTCCCATTTCAATGCTCATAAATGCCATAAACAAAAGGGGGATTTCCGATTTCCAGCCATGGCATGTTTGATGGCATCAAGTCTCAACAGGTGCCGCCCGAAAAAGAAGAGGCGCCACAACTCACCGAGCTAAGCCCTTGGGACCTTTTGGGCCCCAAAACTGCGGTGAAATATATCCACTTACAACATCTTACAACTTACCCTTGAGGGAGTTTTTTGTTGGTCTTGAAGCAATTGAGGGGATACCAGCCGACATTTTTTTTGAGCCGATGGTTTTTCATCTTGTCACCATTCTGGCAAAGGTGTGGCTTCGTCAAGCAACATACATCCGGGGGCGTGTCAAAATGGAGACCCCCTGATCCAATTTCCTAAAGAGTTGTTTAACAATGATGTGGAGACCTATTTGGAACAAGCCGACTTAGGAACAGGCCTGTGTCGCATGTCAGGTGGGTATAGAACAATAGAACTTTTAGTCGAGCCACATAAGCATCCCAGAATTTAAAAGTTTGCAGGGCATGTCTACCAAATCATTTCGTTGGGTAACAGTTTTCAGGTCGTCCACGGAAAAGAACTCTTCTTGACTTTTCACAGGAATTGACTGTGGAGGAAGAGGCTGATAAACTGTTGAAGGAAATGGAGGACGTGGCGGTATCCGTTGGCAGTTTGGGGAAACTGCCTTTGGAGGTTGGAGTTTGGAATAGCTTGGGCTTGGGGCTGGCCTACCCAGAGGGGATAAAGCAATAGATGGAAATTCAAGTTCCAGCACCTCCCCTTGGAAAATGGTCAGTGCTTCGGCAAAATTCTGACATCACATGTTCAAGACCAAGAAATCAAGTTGGCCATGACTGCAAATCATTGCCCCCAGAATGGGACAGTTTCTGATCCTAAATGATTGCTCCCAACGCCTCAAGATACCGGGTAATTTGGCTGGATCAAGATGCAAAAGACAATTTTCTCATATTTTCTCAGTATTTTCTCCCTGTTTCGTTCTTGTTTGTCTACAAAAAACATGGTTGGAGCAACCATTGATTTTTGGAATGAACAGAATCTCCCGGTGATTTTCCATACACCGAGGAGATCAACACCAAAATGGATTCCCCAAAACTTCAGCGGAAGGCAGGGAATTCGTCTGGGGGCGTTCAGCCGAAACCATAGAAGTGGGCAATGTGCAAAACCCATGGTAAACCTAAACCCAATAGTAAACATTAATATAATATGCAATAAACTACCACCACTTTCAGAAATACAGGTGGTATGAAACATCCTCAAACGGGTGCTGTCTGGCATTGGCTTTACCGTATTATTTTGGTTCAATTCCGAAAATCTATTTGGTCGCGTTTCAGAATATGTTGTAGTCAGTGAGTGAAATGGCCAACACCCATCTTGTTACATAGATGGATTTACGTTTCGATTATATATTGGTGGTTACACGCTGTTTTCGTTGGTGAGCCACCCCTTTTTTGACTGGCCAAAGTCCATCTTCCCAATCATCCCCAATAATCGAAAAACATATAGACTTCCCATTTTTTTGCTAGTTTCCACGTGTCTTTTCTTCTCAAGATCACCATGTTCATCCATGTTCGCTATGAACATCGCAATAATCACCATAAGAATCCACCATTTTCAACAACAACTCATCGAAGTCCCGCTTTCTGGTGGATGTTGACTGGAGGTGGGCGGCACGGAAGACGCGACGGAGCTCTTTGGGAGCACCCCACGGGAACCACAATTGGAGCACGTGTCATGGCGGCACAGATGCTCTGTTGAACGGGGTTTTTTGACATGGCGCAACAACCCCAAAGACTCACCCGAAATGGGGTAATTCACCCATCAGAAATTGGGGGGTATGATAGGGTTTACCACACTAAGCCGAAGAAAATGTGGATTGTAACCGTGAAGACATAGGGATTCAAGATGATTCAACACCGTTTGGGGCTCCCAAGCGTTAGGTAAGTTGCTTCAAATTTTTCGCGGATCGAGGGATGCATCTATAGTTCGATGGGGACACCAACTTCTAGCTTTCATGGAACCACAGAAGCCATGATTTTCTTTGGATCCTCTGGATCTGTCAAGTTTCCTATTTTCCCCCAAGTTGCTCCAAATCCCATAGGCGCTCAGCCTATTTGCGCCGAGGTCAGCGGATATTCAATGTGCATATGCTGCATATATATATATATATGTACGTAGATAAGGAAATAGGGAGATAAAATAAGATAAGCAAGACAAGATAAGATGAGGCTAGATGGATCAGAGTTTTGACAGATTGACACATACTTTGACAGATATGTACATTAGACAACATGAAGATATGATGTATGATGTATGTGTATAAGTATGAATGTAAGTATGTAAGTATGTAGTATGTAAGTATGTAAGTATGTAAGTATGTAAGTATGTAAGTATGCAAGTATGCAAGTATGTAAGTATGTAAGTATGCAAGTATGTATGTAAGTAATGTAATTATATAATGTAATTAATGTAATTAATGCAATGTTATGTAATGTTCTGTCTTGTTCTGTCATGTTCTGTAATGTCATGTGATGTAACGTAATGGATTGTAATGTAATGTATTGCAATGTAATGCAATGTTATGTCATGGAATGAAATGTTATGTTATGTTATGTGTATATATATATACACATTTGCATCGAATTAATTTGCAAAGACTTGATATGGGATACGTCATTCACAATAACATCCGTGGGAGATCACTAATCTCACAAGGAAAAAAGGTTGGGCACGTCTCAATGGGTGATTGATTGGAAACAATTGCCTGAAAAGGGGGCTAGCTTCATAAGAAAAAAACATGTAAACACATTTTTTTGCAGGGAAATGTCACATTTTTGGTGATCAAGTGATCAACTCCCCATTTCTGATGGTTAAATGTCAATTTGACGTTTCAATCCGCATTCTTGTTGGTTAACCCCCCATCAATTATTGGCAAACTTTCCTTTTGCTGGTCAAATCGACATGTTTGCTGATGAAGTATGATAAAGTCACTATTTTCGCTGGTGAACCACACTTTTAACGGTAAAACAAGAACATGTTTTTTCGCGAAGATCCGCATTTTTTGGTACTGTCCCTATATTTTTCTGTACATTCTGCAATTCTAATTTCTTTGCTGCTCAAAGTCAATATTTTAGGCAGTACCTCTGTTGAACAGACAGAAAAGTACAATCCTACTCAAAGAAACGGAAGTAATTCACGTTTTTTTTTGGCTTACAATACTGATTAGATTCGCAGTTTTAGCTATCTATAATATAATATACATATATATATATATATACACATAACTATTTTTTATTTGATGTAGTAGTAAACCTACACTATAATATAGTTTTAACATGTTTTAATTCTGTATGTAGTAAATCACTGTTTTCTATCTTACCCTGTGGGGTTTCCTGCAGCTCCAGGTCGGTGCACCAAAGCACCTCTTCCGCCCGAGCTCTGCCAGCTCTGCGGCGCCACGGCGACACTCCGCGGTGCAAGATGCTGATGAGGCAACAACGGGTGGGTCTGGTAGAAGGACGGTGGAGATATTTATTATACCCTCTGGTTATTTAACATAGCCATGGAAAATGGCCCATTTATAGATGATTTTCCCATTAAAACCTCCATTTATGAGGGATTTTCCATGGCTATGTTAAATAACCAGATGGTAATGGTAAATAATGTTCATCATGGATGACAATAGATAAATTGGACAACTTTTCATGGGATATTTGATGACATAGCATATGTGGATATGTATTGTATATACATACATAATTACATGCATATATATATATATATAATATAGTTTTGTTCATAACACTCAGTCCATAACATGGAACCACTAGCCAGTCATGATCCTCTGGGAGATAACCTATCATAGAATAGATCGTAGTTTGAGCCGCTTAGATTTTTTTTTCGCCCTTTTAGAAGAAGAACATATTTCTTCTACATTCATATACTCTACAGATGCCCATAGTCCTTGCAAGGCCCTCCTGCCCAGGTCTTTGGCAAATCTCCAAGAGATGGTGCTCGGGAGACGCAGGAGCATGTGACAGGGTCGCACTTCTTCGTTTCAGATGTCTTACAGATCTCGAAAACTGTAAACTTGGATGAAAACCTGCAAGGGAAAACTGTCAACAATTTAGACCTTTAAGTGGCCACAGATTTTGGTCATTGTTGGTCCAGTTGACCCAGATTTTAGGTGGGTGCTCCGAAACATTTGCTTCGACCTACGTCAGCTCAAGCTCGACGGCCGTCTTTGGAAGAGGCAGATGGAGGGTTTCTGGCGTTCCTGAAAAGGTGGCTATGATTTTCCTAGATTTCCATCATTTGAAATTGATATTCCCTTTGTTTTATTGGTTGTGCATGGTTACTTACCATCAATTGCTCTCCATGATTTGCTGTTCTTTTTTGGCGTTGTACTCGTACCATCCGCAGGTCTTGAGCGGATCGGCACCTCCTGCGAAGGGGACCTTTGCCCGAGCAGCCACGCTGAGCCTAAATCCTTTGCCGCCCACTCCATTGCCGTCCACGGCAGCCCCACCTCCACCCAAGCAGCTTCCAAAGGCGCCAGCTCCACCAAAGCAACTGCCAGCAGCCAAGCAAGCACCCCAGCTTCCAGCGCCTAAAGCCTTGCCAGCCATGCCAGCCAAGGCTGAAAAAGTGCTTCCCAAAGCTGAGGCGGAAATGGAACAGAAAGTTTCTGAAGCAGCGCCAGCACCAGAACCACCTACAGTTGGTGAACTAGCCCCAGAACCACCTAAAGTTGCCGAAGCTCCAACCACCCCACCAAAAGTATCTGAGCCATCCCCAGTCCAATCTGCACAACCAGCTGAGCCAGCTGTCTCAATGGCCCCCCGGGTCATGGCGCTGCTCCCCCCAGCACCACTGCCACCGGCACCCGCTCCAGCCCCGGCCTCGGCCCCTCCGCCGCCGCCCAAGACGGGAAGCCCCTCGCGGAAGAAGCCCAGCATGGCACCGCTGCCGCCAGTGCCGGAGATTGAGCAAGCCCAGGCAGAACAGGAAGCTTCCTCCGAATCCTCCGAGGACCGTTGCTCTCGAGACCGTAATTTTTCCCTTAAGTTTTTTGTTGGGCACGATTTACTTCATTTTGGTTCATTTTTTGCCAACTTTTTCCGCAGTTTTTTTCCGTCCCAAAAATCTGTTTGGAGCTGGATCCAGCACCTTATTCGACAGCAGGAGCTGTTGCCTGAGACGCCCGTGGCCAAACATGCCGCGCAAGCCACCCCAGCACCACCCACCGCTGCGGGCTATCCGAAGATGGCTGAAGCTCCAGCTGCACCTGGTGGAGGCGATTGATGGTGTCATGGAAGGAGATGTCGAGACATAAGAATCGGCCACTGCGAATTTATATGAATTTATAGATGGGTAGAACAAAGCCATGACATCTGATGGCTGGGGGGTAACCAGGAGTTGATTTTGCGATCTTGTAAACTCAGTCTGTTGATGTTCAAATGTTTGCTTTCCATGTCGGCAGATGAGTCCTACTGGACTGGCAATGGAGATGTGTCAAGACCCGTGAGATCAATTTCTTGGGATGAACATCCATTGGCATTTACCAACAATCTTGATGTGACGGGCAGCGTACCTTCTGTGGTTCAACCACCTATCAGTTGATCCTATTGCAACGCCCTGCTGACCTGTCAGAGGTGCTGGCTATCCACAAGGTGAACTTCCAGCCAGGCAGGTCGTGTGGGGTAGCATAATTCAGTGGCGTTCGGCCCAGAAAAACATTCAAGACTCTCGTTTCATAGCTTTCGAGCATCTTCCCTTGGTCCGTGAGCTCAGGCCCCAACCACAGATGAATGCAGGCGTGCTGCATATCTTGGTCATTTAGAGGGTTCTTAAGTCACTGAAGTTAAGTGAAAAATTGGGATTTAACTATGATTTAACTATGATTTAACTATGATTTAACCCTCAATCATGGGTTTTTTTACATGGTTTACCCACCAAAACATGGGAGAAATGGAGGTGATGCGGAGATCCCAAAATCATGCGGCACAGATTGGGACCAAGATCCCATGGATGTCGATCTCAGCTGATTTTTTGCCAGGGCTGCCATCTGCTGCGCGGCGGCAGAGAGCAGAACTGGTGCCCTGGCTACAACTGGGGCAGAGTAGAAAGCGCCTGGTCCAAGAGTTGAGGGGTATCATTCCATATCATTCCTGTTGCCCCAGATTTTTTTCAACCAGGGTGAAAAAAATCCGGCCAATAAAAAATTGCCCGTCAATATGGCACCCATCTACCGGGAATGGTTTGATAATGGTTGATTCAACTTGTTTGACTACGGATCAGCAGTCAGTCTTTATCCACGTAAACTAGGAATCTCCACCAGCAACCCAGGAGTGTTTCACTTCAGGTGGGAATGTCTCAAACTATGTTCCCCCATCATCCTAAATATGGTTCAATACATTTCACACCCCATGTTGTGGTGTCAACTACTATATAAAAATGACCAGCCAAGTTGAGGGTATTGAAGGTATATATATATATATACTTGCTTGGATGTGCATTCCAGTCGGAAAATGGGCAATAACCATGGTATACCCCCAGTTCTATACATGGCATATCTCCACTCAAATGTGGGTAGTTATTAATCACTTTACTATGTGGGATGCTCATCCAAGTGCCTCATTGAAACAGGGTTGCTCCAGCCCATCACAGGTAAATGACAGCTACTTTCAGGGGGGTAAACTTGTCATTTTCCCTCTGTATCTACCCAGCTTCCTCCCAAACGTATCTGGGCTGTTTGGAACAACCCTGATTCAATTAGTTCCACTATATTCCATTTTTTCTATAATCATAGCTTCAATCCCCCAGTTATAGATGATTTTCTCAATTCAAATCTCCATTTCAACAAAGTTTCGCTGAAACGGTCGCCAGGTGTCCAACTTGCAGTACCTCTGTCGCCTTTTCTTGGAGACACGAGAGCAACTCTACGCCGCGCACGAGAAAACTGAGACGGAGGCAATCGATTCGATCCCACGGGCCTAAATTAAATTCAAAATGCAGGGGTTTTTCTCATCAAATATGACATATGGGGATTTAATTGCTTTAATAAATCAAGGAAAAATAGGGATTTAACTGATTTAACCATTTAAACACATGTGATTTAACATAATTTTACCGTAATCACGGGGGTTTACCCAGCTATTTCATAGGGATTTAACCATTGGATTTCACCAATGAAGGATGGACTTGGGTGTGTCTGAAGCCCAAAATGGCATTTTGTTGTCATAGGAAAATGGTGATAAACCATCTAAACATTTTTTTTTTGGGGGGGTACCATAGTTTCACGCAACATCAGGTTTTTTTTGCTGAGAAAACTTTGGCAAGGGAAAAAAACTAGCAATTTTATGGGTCAAGAATGGGTATTTCAGCAGGAATCATTGGGTTTGAACCAACAAATGTTTGGCATTTGAACCTAAACGGGCATGGATCAAACCCTTCCAGTAGGGGGATGAGCATCCATCTATTTTGGTGTTCACCACAGGTTACAATGTCTTGACCACGTCAAGAATTTGAATTCGCATCTGTCTGAAACCTGAATCCTACAAAGGGGGTGACATTGCATATGCTCCCACTTGCAGGGGAGAGAATCGATAGCCAATCGATAGCTCCATGATCCTTGAACTGCAGCTGTTGGCACAAAGCTGCCTGCTGAGTAAAGTGAAGCTGTCTCCTCATGGACAATGTAGGATGGTTCCACTTATCGTTTTGAAGGTGGGGACTAAGGGCAGAACCACCGACTTGCAATCCTCTGGGCAAATTTTACGGATCTCAATCAGCCTCCCCATAAGTTCTGGTTCTGCGTGGGGAAGACTCCCAAATGGTTCGTTCATTGGAACAGGCAAATGGGGGATCAACCCTACTTGCCACTCAAAATGGCTTGGAAACCTGGGGACCCCCTTCCATCCAATGGTTTTCCCTAATAGGCCCTATAGAAAATGCAATTTTGCGTCAACTTATCTATTTACTTATGACATACTTACCCTCTGGTAATTTAACATAGCTATGGAAAATGACCATTTATAGTGGATTTTCCCATGAATAATGGTGATTGTCCATAGCTATGTTAAATTACCAGAGGGTATGACATACTTATGACTTAAGATATCCCAACCCCAACTTAAAACAATCGTTCCTAGCTGCCTCCCATGGTGCCATGGGCCGCATCTGGCGGGTGGTGGGTGGTTCGACTGCCAGTGGTCTCTTGGTGCGTGAAGGCCGGGAGTTGACGTCGCCCGAACTCCCAGAACGCCTGCAGACGCAGTCCATCGTGGAAGAGCTCGAGGTGTGGCTTTGAAGTTGCAAAAAATGTCGCCTGGTTATTTACCATAGCTCTAGAAATCACCATTTTTGATAGGTACATCATCGAACATTTGGGTAGGGGTCAAGATTCAAAACCTGATTTTGGTTCATTTTTAGGATTGCAAACCATATCATTTTAACCAAATTTGAAGCAAATTTGATGGCAGATGATGGTTGAAGATATTTGATTGCACATCACGAGGTCGTTCTTGGTTTGATTTCTGCCTTGGCATATGCAGCGTTCAACAAAAAGCAATTTCATTCAACAGTTACCCAATAGATGTGTGAATGGCTTCAGTTTTTTGATAAGTTTTGATGTTTGAATAGTGTGAAACCATCCATGTTTTGCGGATCCACTCTGAGCCAAATTGTTGCAACTGCAGGATCAGTAGCATCCTTTGGCCCAGTTGTAAGGATTCACCCCAGCACTTTTTGTGACTCGATCTATGTGACAACAGACAAAATGATCCATCCAAAACAGGCGGAATCCATCCGCATCCTTCCAGGTGGTGGGCACTCGTTTCCACTACCAGCTCCAGCGGGGCCGCGGTCCCAACAGCGGCTGGATCAGCAGCAAGCTGAAGGCTCGGCCGCTGCTGGTGCGCGCGGACGTGCGCGACACGGGGAAGCACCTGGGGAATAACGCACCCATCCCGGAGCTGCTGTACGTGCAGGGAAGTGAGAAGCATGGCACCTTGAGGGAGGTCCAAGGCGCAATAAGAGTTTGGTGGATGTTGCTGGTTCTGAGGGTGGAGACCTGAGATGCAACCTGATACATCTTGATCGTTTTTTTTTGAGATGATGGAAAGGCTATCTCGTCCAGCATCGGAATTTCTCCATGATTTTTGCTCCATGGCCTGGAGGCACCTTAGACGACCTGGAACAGGCGGTGCTAAAGCACTTGGAGGGCAACCCATCGGCCGCATCAAAGCAGTTCCAAGGGCTGCTGGAGGACATGTTATTTTTAGCCTGGAGGCGGGAGAATCGGCAACGGGTGCTCCTGTTCCTGGGGAAACAACTGGAGTTCTGCAGCAAGAAGCCTCAGCTGAAGGAAGCCGCTAGGATCATCTGCGAAGAGTTGTGTTTGGTGTCCTGGGCTTCATCGATGGTGGACGTGGAATATTACAGCTGCTGGGTTTTGGGTCTTGCTGGGTGGTTGGGTCTCATCTTTATCGTGGAGAAAGGTTATTATTGTAAATGCTTCAGGGGGTTTAGACCCAGCAACAATCATGGTTCGGCCTTGTGCCAGTGCCTGGGTGCCCAGCGCCCAGGCTTTAGGGACGAACAAAGTCCGCTCGTTTTGCTTTGCGGCTTCGGCGGTTCTCATTTGGATGATTTGCAGCCTGCCATTGAGCATTGGACGGAGAAAGGCTTTGGTGTGTTAGCATTTGGCCCTGCGAGATTGGGCCGGGAAGATATGTTGGACCTGAACCTTACCTCAAGAGGAGGCTTCGTGAAGCCTTTTTTTGATGGCAACATGCACCACTTTTTGCTGGTGAAAGGCCAAGTCCCTATTTTTTGGCTGATCAAGTCCCAAGTTTTCGTAGGTAAGTCCTAATATTCTATGGTTAACTTACCTTTTTGCTTGGTTAAATACCAATTCTTCATGGTTAATTCCAACAATTCGATGGTACAATCACCATTTTTGATGGGTCAATAACAATTTTGGATGGTTGAATTACCCTTTATGTGGTGCCCACAGTGCCCATCCAAGGATCCACGCGAAGCTCTTGGAGCTTTCTCGCGGCCGCTCGGTGTTCGCGCACCTCTTCAGTGACGGCGGATTCGGCTTCGCGCGAGCTTTGCTGAGCATGTGGGATGAGAGCTGGAGGAAGCAACAGACGCAGGAGGGAAAGCCTTGGAAGTTTATAGCTATGGGATTTCACCCATGTTTTTTTTTGGGATTTTAATGGATGTAATGAATGGGGTCCTTGGCTCTGCGGGATCAAGGCATTGTAAGCGGCGAACATAAGCCAGAATTTAAGGGATACATTTTTCACATACAGCTGGGGTATAACATGGCTATGGCTATTATCGTTTATTGTCTTCGCATGTGCATGCTCGACAACAAACTCCAAACCTTTTTCAACCTGGTTTTATTTCAACAACTTTGTGGACCAGAAGTTTTGTGGAACTGGTTTTCGTTTTGCTGCATGTGAGCGACTGGGAAGGATGTTTTTTTTACTGAGTGCAATTCCTGGGACCCCCTTGGGGTCGGTTGGGCTGATCTGGAACTTAAATCAGGGAGGCACATGGTTGATGAATCCAACCCTTTTCATATATTTGCCACGGCGAAAAATTGGATGATATGTATATAATTGTGTATATATATATAACATATGTAACATATAACATATAAATAAAACAAACAAACAAATACATAAATAGATAACCAACGCACGGACTAACTAACCAAGTAACCAACTCACTAACTAACTACTAAGTAAATAAATAAATAGTAATACCGGTATGTAAATGTACACATTACAGATCTAGCCTTCTTCGGGATTGTCATAACACCACCAACAGGGAACGACCCGATGGCATGGTCGGATTCTGGAGCACCATGACCCAGGAGGACCCACACCTGGCGCTGAAGTGCATCATCTGTGATGGGGCTGGGCTGTTGCCTCATGAGGTGCCCTGTGGGGCCTCGGTGGGGCACCGCGCCGAACAATCCGGACCCTTTTGATAGGAAGAAGATGGACAAAAGGGATATTTTTCTGGAATTAGTGGCATCATCATGGGGATATATAGGGATGGAACTGGCCAAGATGATGGGTTTGACATGGGTTGACCATATAATGCAGGATACCTCTTCAGTTGCGATGTTACCAGGGAACATCATGATCAGCCAGTGGATTTGGTGGGTATCCAATTTTCAGACAAAAGCAAAACCAGATGTTCACACTTTGTTTTGGGAGAAGACCAAGAATTGGACCAAGGCACCAAGGTCAAATCTCATTGAACACATCATGTTTTGTGGTAGAATCATAGATTTCCTGATTTCCCCTTAAACGATCTTAAACGTATCCATGTTATTCTATTCTCATTCCTTCACCGGCCTGACAGGATGTTCCCATCGATCCTACGGACGAGTCTCCAGTGGAGCCGCTGCAGCCCGAGGCGACTGGCAACAGCGAAGCGCTGAAGCAGATGACCTTTACGGCGCTGGCGTTTTTCACAGGCGCTGGTGGATCATGGTGGATGTGGGGAAGCTTCGGACGATCCGGCCTCGAAAGATGGCAGTGGAACAGCAGACCATGAATATTTTTGATGGGTAAATGATGTAAATGGCGAACTTCGTACTGTCAACCACCCATTTTTCAGTCTAATGGGATGATATGGGGCACCCATTGTTTGGTGGCCCTGAGGTTGTGGCTTGAACATGCTCATGAACTTTGGTGCCTGCCAAGCCTTTCACGAGGAACCAGCCAACTCTTTCGGCAAGACCTTGGTGGAGTCAGCGAACAGCGGCCAGTTGGCAGGGAAGTTGTCCAGTGCGCCCCGAGGCCCGTTGCTGGGGATCTGGCGTTTGTTGCGTGAAGTGCCGGTGCTCCTCATCGCCTCCAAAGGGGACCGAGTGGTGCCACTGGAATGCTCGCTGTCCCTGGTCACCTGGTTTAGAAAGCTTCCGGAACGACAGCTGGTGCAAGGGCAGCGGTGGAAGGAAACTTCCATTCTTGAAGAGGATGGTATGGCCGTCCACACGTTGATTCTTGAGAAGGCGCTGCATTGCAAAGCAATGACCAGCCATGCGGTCGAATATTGGGAGGCAGTGGATGACCTGGTCATGCAGTGCTTGTCGTCTTAAATTTGGCGCAATCTTAGGCCATTTCTATGGGGCGCCCAGCAAAAACACGAACATGGGTGATGCAAGGGCCCCCCCCATTCCCCAGGTCCAGGCAGTTGTGGGGATTCACACCCATGTTACCGCGTTTGCAAAGTTTTCAAGGCCCTTTGTGGAGATTGTAACATCTTGGGACCCTCTGGGACACCCTCAGCTATGGCCAGGCCAACTGCGATGGGCTGCGAGAGGAACTCGATGCAGTGCGCTTCCGACGGCTGCTTGAGGCTGGATGAATCACCTTTTTCATGATTTAGTGCTACTAAGAAATTTATGAATTGATGGTAAATCCACATTTCAAGATACCCTTGCAGGTAAACTATGGTAGACTATTGCGACACAGGTATGAAATTGGTGGTTTTACCATGTTTTACCTCTCCATTCACACACTCCCTTGGTACCTTCAAAAAAATGGGAGCAATCATGTCCATCAAACGTAAATCTGGCTGAGTCGAACATTTTCATGATGCTACGTAGATGATTTTCTCATCAGAGATGGGGATGCTCCAGGCTTTTTTCGGCTCAGGGGCTGAACTTTTCTCGATCGGATCAGTCGACTGGGCCCCCAAGATGCTGTCAGCTGGGCCTGGGCCTGTGAGGAGACTTTGGGACAATCGCATGGTGCAATGCCCAAGCCTCTCATTCGATTGCTGAGGCACCGGTCGTCCGAGTCGATGCTTCGTGGGTGATCCCATGATCTAGGATCTTAATGTATCATATTGCATATGATTTGTATACATGATATCGTAGATTAATAGATAGAACCAAGATGTATGATATTTCATGATATTTCTATCTATTCCTGTATACATTCATGTATGATATCTTAATGTCTACAGGAACCCCAACAGATAGACAAATCGTCCGTCTCGCTCAGATCCTTCGGCCGTCGCGCGCTCTACGGACGTCGACGGAGTCCATATGGCCGCCGGTGACTGAGGGATTTGTTGTTTGTTGTTTTTTTTTGGCAAAACATGTGGGCAAATATTGGTCAAAACCAAACAGGGTGTAAATATTAGTAGGTAAACATCCCCTATTTTTTTTGGAATCTTGCGATATGAACTACTGGGTATGGGTTTTCAATCCATTCCCTCATGACACATCAAACGACATCACCAGAAAGGGTGGTTTCTATGGTGAGCCGACAAGACTGTGCTCAAATTATGATGATGATGATGATGATGGTGATGATGATGATGATGATGATGATGATGATGATGATGAGACGACGACGACGACGACAACGACGACAACGATGATGATGAGATTCCTAGATTATTGGACATGGAAAGGGGACACACAGCTCAGGAGGGGACTTGTTTTCCCTTTGTTGAAGTCTGCTTGAGATGCAGGAAACACATGGAAACAAGGTTGACGGGTATCCAGTGACATTTGTCAGCAGTCAATTTAATCAGAGATGCACAGCGCCAGACTTAGGTCGTGCATTTGCCCAGTTCCAGCAGGCTCGATACAGTGACCCTAGGATACCGAATGCACCCCGCAACCCAAATTGAAAGTATTTCATGACGTTCATAGCATGTTCTCTGGATATTGCAAGTCCCTCCAAGTGGGGTTTCAACATCCCCATTGCAACTGGTGAAACTCAACAGTGTAGTACTCACTTATTGATTGCAACTGCGAAGTCCCTGGGGAATGAGCTACTCATCCGGTCAACAATTATTCCTTCAAGTTGACGGGAACATTTGCAGGAAGCCCTACACTTTTAGGTAAACATCATGGCATCAATTGTAACTTTGTCCTCAAGCCCATTCATTGAATGAGAAGAACGTCTTCGAGTCTTCCAGTACAATAATCTCTTCGCCCTAATATTAAAACACCCTGGTGGAAACCTATTCATTTTGGAGGCCCATATGAGGTGATTTAATATTAGATTGGCTATATTTCCCATTTCAAGATAGTGAACGTATATTAGCTTCCTTTTTTTCAAGGTTAACTACAATATATTGTACCTCATTTAAATATTATCCATTTAAGATTTTGAAGGATGTGATTATTCAGACATCACCATCCTTTCAGATCTTGGTCCTGGCCTCCCTAGTCCCCTGGAGGCCTGTACTGGGCAGGGCCCTAAAGGCTTCGTTCTGGGTGCTGTGCCGCAGATGTTGGGAGACCTGGGAGACCCAACATCTTTGGGAGAATCCGATGGCAGCAGCTATGCTATAACCACCAATAGCTGGGACCAAGGTTATTCATGGTGGTTATAGCATAGATGGTGTGGCAAATGTGGGGTTTCTGCAGAACTGGAAACTCACCTGAAGGAATCGTCAAGACCAGGGTGTGCACCGGCTTGCTACAGCGCATATTTTGAGGGACTTTGGTTATTTGACTCCTGCATCTTGGATGGTTTTTACTTCTGACTTTGGTAATTTGATGTAATTTGATCATAAGTTCATTGTAAGCTATGATTTTCAATGATTGATTATCATCATAATTCATCCCTTTATCACTTTGGAATTCGGCTGAATTATCCCAGTTATTATCCCATTATCATTGCTATGATCATCACAATCATAATGACCTGATGGGTGATAATGATCATTATTAGATAATCTATGATTCATCATAATGATGGGTGAGCAATGACCTCTTTGAGTCATAGAATCGGCTGATAGCGGCGCCTCAGTCTGCGGCTGATGGACCGGCTGGTGGACGAAGGCCGGATGGTGACCGCACTTCACGGCTGAAATGGGTACAAAAAACACAAAGCATGGTATCTTGGAGATACGATGAACATATAGTGTAAGAATCTAGTAGTTATATATATATGATATCATAGAGTTATATAGTGTATATTAATGTATATATAGTATGTGACAGTATAAGTAGATCTATATGATGTCCATCCGTGATGATCCCATCTACACCGAGCTGAGCTTCCACTTGAGAAACCTCCAACTTTGCCCGTAAGAACATGTTCAATAGGGTTTCTTATATCGATTCTATCAGTATATCGATAATATATATATATATTATATGTATATATATATTTACATAATACACAATTGTACACATATACTCGACATTGTAGATGTATGTATACATCTGTATATATTGCATTTTTCGAGGTCGAAGGACCATGCCTGATGCTGTGGAGGATGGACCTTGCCTCAGCACATCGCATTGCCCAGTGCCCATTAAATGCAATATATATATATCTCTCTCTCTCTATACATATATATATATATATAACCAACAAAAATGTGGATTTAGCCATCAGAAGTGGTCAGCAGAAGCCATCAGAAATGAGGATTTAACTATGACTTAAATAGGGATTTAACTGATTTAACCATGAAAACAGGTCGATTTTCCCAAGAAAAAATGTGATTTAATGGGGCATAACCTCCCAGGTGGGGACGATCCCTGGCTTGATGGCATGCCGGAGGAGACGGAGAAGGCATGCCTGGCTAGGTATAATTTCTATGTGGGTAAAACAATGTCGAATGGTCTATAGCACCTATAGAAATGGTGATGACTGGGGGATGGTTTATGACATTGTTTCACCAAACCATCCATCAAGACTGATAGACATTTGAGATTTAGGGTACAGCTATTGAATTCATAGGCATTTGAGAACAAAATGATGGGGATTTACCCAGCCAAATGGGGATTAAACATGATGAAACCATAAACATAGGGGTTTAGCCAGTGACAAATGGATATGGGTGTGGACCCCCCAAATGGTTTGTTTGTGGGGGAAGTCAACAATGGGATGGAGTGAAACGACATCCGCATGGTCTTGAGGGATGAATTCGGTGGCATGAATGCCCATGATATTTGCGAAATGCTTTGTGATTTTCCTGGTCTGGCCAGCGTGAAGATGCTTGCACGGCAGGGACGCGGTTTGCCAGACTGGGAGAAGTTGGATGGAATTCTCTCTGAACCACAAAACCTCGAGTCCTTGCAAGCTGAGGCGCAGTCGGATGTTTTCGGGGTGGGATGCATGCTGGGATGTTTCAGGATAGCTAAGTGTTCCTGGGTGCTCTTCGGTTACAAACCCTGAGGCACTGGATGTATTGGAATACTCCTTATCATCCCATTGTGGCCAAAGTCAAGCGCAATCCCAGTATTCGAGACGGGTATGGCTCAAACCTTGGGGTCCAAAACCAACCATGCACAGAGGTCTGAATAGATGTATTTTTTGATCTTATTTTTAAGATGATTGGCTAATTGAACAATATTCAACTCAATTAGTTAATAGAATGATTGAATATTTGTGGTCTATTTTCAATATTTTCCTAAAGCCAGGCAACCATGCCCAGGCAGATGCCTTTCTGGCAGAAACATCGATGCCGAAACCTCTTTGTCTTTCAAAGGTGCCGCGTGCCACGGGAGGATTTCGCATGGATGGCTGACCAAGCCTCATGAAAGATGGGATGAGGGGGATAGCATTGTAATGGGAGTAACACCAATTGTAATGGGAATTATACCAATAATCCCACCAAACATGGTAATTATACCAATTGTAATGGGACTTATATAAGAATTCCTATTCTTTTTGGGAGATTATACCAATAATAATCCCATAGTGGTGATGTTAATCAGGTGCTATTTACCATTATTAATGGGATCACAATGAGATTATTACCATTGCTATATAATCATGGATTTTATTCACCAACATGATATTTCCATTATAATCCCATTGGGAATTTAGTGTGGTAAGCCCAATCATAAACCCCAATTGGTGATTCAAGCCAACAAACATGTGGAGACGGAAACTAATTGAGGATATTGAGCAACAATCATAGGATTTCTACACAACAAGGATGGAGAAACATGTTGGTTTCCTAAATGGTGGTACCCCTAAATTCATCCAAGTCATTAGACTATTTTAGTATTGGAACCGGTTTCGGGGATTCCCATTTAACAAAATATCCCGTTGCTGTGGATAATTATAATCTCCCATTACAATTGGTATAATTCCCATTACAATTGGTATAATTACAATGGCTATACATCATTATCATTATGACTATAGCGCATTGTATTTGCTATAACTCCATTATCTATGATATGTATACGTATATATATATATATACATCTTTGCTACAATCCCATACAGTATGATATATGATACTCATTACATCACATATATGATATATTGTGATATAATTTATATATGTGCTCTAATCCCGTTCTTACAGTATGATATATTATTATTATTAGTTATTATTAACTATTATTAATCATTATTAATTATTTTTGATTATTATTAATTATAATAACTATTATTAATTATTATTAATTATTGTTAATAATTATTATCATAATCCATTACATATATATACATCATACTGATTTATAATGGATTATGTCATATGAAGATTATAGCATATTACATATGTGGTACAATCCCATATTATTACATAATATTACATAATATCTGGGTAAATTATAACGACCTCACTACGACCTCACTGGAAATCATGGTTAGTAAGGGGAATCATCCCCAAATGGCCTTAATGCAGATTAGTGAATTATTATAATTTGCCCTGATAAAAAAATATATATATATATAACCCATGACACTCACCATTTTGCACTCAGGCGGAACGCGCCGAGACCACTGCGGAGCCGCCGGACAGTGGCAGCTTCGCGCCGCGGGGGCGGCGCCCGGCCGCGGCCGTGCCAGGTGGGGATTTTTCCCAGGTTTTTGGAACGACACGTGGGGATTTCACCGGGAAAAATGGGGATTTCAGATGAATTACCCTCTGGTAAATTAACATAGACCCTGGCAGATAGGGGTTGGAAGACTAGTTTCCATTAAAAATAGGTTATTTTCAGGGTCTATGTTTATTTACCAGAGGGTAAGGATCAAGAATAGAGATTTCATTGAGAAAAATAAGGGGATTTTCTGAGAAATTGGGATTGTGACGTGATGAAACACTGGCATTGTAGCAGCAGAGATTTGGGAATGGGTCAATTGAGATGAACATCCAGCTATACCAGTTATTCTGGTGTGAAAGCAAGGGCAGTCTAGGGTGTTGACAAAGATTGGATGGTTTTAGCCTGATGATTGCCAGCCATTTGAGAGTCGGCTGGTGCCTCGTTTTGGTTCGCCATACTATCTATATACAGCTCGTAATCTACTTAAACCATCATTTCTACAACTGATGGCCATCATGGTGCAGGTGACGATGGCGCCGATGCCAAACAGGGCAGGTTGGATCACCTGGATACTCGAAATTGTGACGCAGGGCCTTTTTTTTGGTTTTCGACGTTGGACTTGGTCAGATTGAAAGATGCAGAATGGATGTTTTGGAAGGACGCTGAACCAACCAGTCTCATTCCCAGATTTGGATGATTTACAGGGGTTATTGGTTTACCCTTATTTTTGCATGTAGGAACCATGGTTTGGTTGTCAGATTTCCTTTCACCCCAGATTCGTTGACTAGAATCCTGAATTCTTTTCTGGGTGAAAACTATTTTTGGTGAAAGAGCCAAGTGTTTCACCGTCTCACGATAACTCCTTTAGCCTTTAGATGGTCCCTCCGTTTTTCCATCTGACCCGGCGGCCACAGGCGCCTCTTTGCTTCTGTGGGTCCTTACTACTCCTGTGACCCTGAGCTTCTTCTCAAGGCGTGGTAGCCGAACTTGGGCCACGCAGGTTTATGTCAAGCCTGGATAAGAAAATGAGCAGTTTATTCGTTGGGGGCAATTCTAGACGCATACTTTGCTACTGTTTTGTGTAGGGTAGGAAATTATCTTTCTATTTTGTCGAGGTTGCGATAGTATTGATAGCCCACCCCAAAAAATAGTAATAGCATGTGATAAAGACTCGAATGATAAATGGTATCCCCCATATGAATTGACATTTGTGGCAAACCCAACAAACCGTCCCCAGCTTTGACCATTTGAGGGTTGTAGTAAGTAGAGTTTATGATTGGATGTATATATATATAATTATATATATTATATAATTATATATATATATTCTATAATTATATATATATATATTATCTAATTATATATATATGTTACAATTATATATATATATTATAATTATATATAATGTATAATTATATATATATTATATGTATGTATATTCTATAATTATATATATATATATATATGTATTTTATATAATTATATATATATTATATTATATATATTATATTATATATATTATATATATTATATCCTGTAATTATATAATTATATATATATATAATGACTATATATTATATAATTATATATATGTATGTATATATATATATTATGACTATATATTATATAATTATATATGTGTATATATATATTATGACTATATATTTTATAATTATATATATACCATATGAATCCATGTCCCTTGCTCATAAACACCCCTGAGAGACACTGTTTCAGTGTGGTTCCCGTACACAAGGAGTTTATATGACTAGGCAGCAGGATCAAACCACTTATAGGTGAGTATATCGGGATACAACGCAGTTGCGCATAATTCAAGACCCACCATGAAAGTAAATCATTTTCCTACGGAAACCCAGGGTTTTCCAGATCCGTTTGTTCGTTAAAGCCGCGTAGATAGAAAGCGGGCTGAGTTACCTGGCGGAGAAGGGGTTACCAGATCCATTTGACAGGTCGCTAAGGCGCCGTTGCCCAACCTGGACACTTTGGTGCGCTTCCTTAGGGGTTGCTGGTTGTAATCACCCATCCAACATCCTCCAAAACAAAACATCAAAAACTGGAATTTAAACTGCCAAAACGGGATGAACACCCGATATGACGGTGAGACGTGAGAAAAAGGCATATGGCTCGAAACTTTGGACTTGCACCTTGTTTTGCAAAGCCAAAACTTGTTCTGATTTGATCTTACCCAAACACTAAAATGGCACCCACCCATTACCATTTTGAACAGGACAAATCTCATCTCCTCCCAAATCCCTTTTTGGGGGTCTAGAGTCTAAATGATTCAGAACGCAGAACCACACGGCCAGGTGAATTCCCTGGTTCCCGGTGCAGAACTCACCACGGAGGCAACCGCATCAGGGTCGTGTCCATGGGAACTTGCGATGGACAAAGAGATTTTTCGATGGCCTTCAGTTCTCGGATTTAGAAAAACATGGAGACAAGTTGGGCAAAAAAACCCATTTGATCAAACACCAAAAAAATGCTCCAAATTGAGTGCACCAAAAAGATCAGTTGGCTTCCCAAGCGCTTAATACAACTTCCAGTTTGAAGCTGCGGGACCTGCGCCATGGGCGAACACGAGTCTGAGTCCTTGGAGGCTCGAAACCGGAAAAGGGCTGCTGACCCTGTGAACGGGGCAGATGCCTTTCAACTACCGGAGGAGATGATGGAATGGTATCGGAGCTTAGATTCTGCAGGTGCCCACGCGGCGTCCGAGGCCAAGTGGTGGCAAGACTTCTTAAAAGATCAATGCGATCGAGCAGGTGGTTGGACACGGAACTGGCCCATTCATGCTAAACATCCAGAGCTCAACCACTTGTATCTGCCATTATCTATCTACCTTTCTTGGCTTCAAAGCTATTTTGTTTTCCATCATGATTGGGGCCCCACAATCGACCAAGATTTTTTCCGGGCCTGGCTCCCAGCACTCAGGTATGTTCACCGCCACAGTGCTCCAATGCATTTCGTGATCGGAAGGCAAAGTCCCTTTTACATCGAACGCTGCTTCCGGAACGACCGGAAGCGCGCGGTTTGGGCGGTCTATTTTGGGCCTTTCTGCTCCAATGGCGACTACCAGGTTGGCGTAGGCAATGGTGGTGCCATTGCTGCCCTGTTGGATTTGATGACTGCCACCTTGGGGAACATCTACCTGCAGGGCAGGTGTCCTACCTTGTCCCTTTCGGTGAAGATGTTAAAGCCGGTAGTGCCGATGCCTGGCTTGTTCAAGGCAGAAGCATGGATTGAAAAAGAAGAGGCCGGAAGACTCTACACCAAGGCGGAGTTTAGCGATGGCCAGGGGGTGATTTTTGATGTCTGTGAAGCCGTGCTGAAGGCCAAGAGGCCTTCCAAACTGTGAGCACGGCTGTTCGAGGTGATGAAGATGCTGTTGACTGCTTGGGACACAAATCTCTTTCGCACTCCTCACCTAAATCTCTATGGCCCATATCCACTTACGTAGCCAATAAATCCCATCGCCACAATATAAACTTTTATGGACCTGCCACTTTTTAGATCCAATACATTGCACCCAAGCGGCAAATCTGAGTGACTCCGAGACTCTCTGCTGAGATGAACAAAACATGCGCGTGTATGATTGGATCATGAGGTAAGCCATGGTAAACCCAAGCATCTTTACCCATCCCCAATTAGGGTTTATGATTGGGTATACCGGTATACTTACCCCGTTTTTTTTTTTTTTCTGGGATGATGTAAAATAACCCCCAAGTGGTTAGTTAATGGGTTTGTTATTTCATGGCTAGTTAAATGTGGTTAAACCAACCAATAAACCATCCCATTAATAGTTATATAATGTTATATATATAGTTAAACTAACCATTTTTCTATGGTTTATGATGTGATATTGATTGGATTTACCACATGGAAAAGCATATCGAATTTCACCCGTCTCTGGATCTTCGCAGGGCCTGCTGTTGCAGTTGGCAGATGAGGAACTCGCTGGAGCCCCCAACCTTCATGAGATCAGGGAGCCGAAACGAGTCCAACTAGAACAGTCCAATCTAGTCACACTTGAGCAGTGTTCAGAAGTTCGAAGAAGTTCAGAAGCCCAGTTGATGATCTATTGGGAAGATGTGTGTTTGTTTTTGCTTGTATAAACTTATATGGGTATGGGTCAATACCTATTAATACCATTTTTAGTGGGATCAACATCCATTTACCAGCTATTTTGATGTTCACCAGGGGTACCAGGGTTTTGACACACTGCCTAAACCCAATGGTTAATGATCATTATCCCTATTAAATGGCTATAATTGGGAATATACCCTATAGTATTCCCAAATATTCCCAATATATCATCAACCAACAGAACTTACAAAATGCCTGTCTGCACCAGCCGAATGATCGCTGAGGATTTCCATCCACTGAAACACGTGGAACTCCACGGATTCACATGGGGATGGGTTCAAAAAACCTATGATACCATGGGATATATATATATGGATATGAATATATATATATATGGATATGAATATATATATATGGATATGAATATAAATATATATATGGATATGAATATATATATATATGGATATGAATATATATATATATGGATATGGATATATATATATATGGATATGAATATATATATATATGGATATGGATATATATATATGTATATGTATATATGTATATATATATATATGGATATGGATATATGGATATGGATATATATATGTATATATATATGTATATGATATATATATGGATATGTATATATATATGGATATATATATATATATATCTATGTATATATGTATATATATATATATGGATATGTATATATATATATGTATATGTATATATATATATGGATATGGATATATATATATATATGGATATGGATACATATATATGTATATATGTATATATGTATATATATATGGATATGGATATATATATATGGATATGAATATATATATATATGGATATGGATATATATATATATGTATATGGATATGAATATATATATATATGGATATGGATATATATATATGTATATGTATATATGTATATATATATATATGGATATGGATATATGGATATGGAGATATATATATATATGTATATATATGTATATATGATATATATATGGATATGTATATATATGGATATATATATATATATCTATGTATATATGTATATATATATGGATATGTATATATATATATGTATATGTATATATATATATGGATATGGATATATATATATATATATACGGATATGGATACATATATATATATGGATATGGATACATATATATGTATATATGTATATATGTATATATATATATGGATATGGATATATATATATATATATGTATATGTATATGTATATATGTATATATATATATGGATATGGATATATATATGTATATGTATATATGTATATATATATATGGATATGGATATATGGATATGGATATATATATATATATGTATATATGTATATATGTATATATGATATATATATGGATATGTATATATATATATATATGGATATATATATATATGTATATATGTATATATATATATGCTACCCCCCCAAGACCTACATTTTTTGTATTAGGTATGTCCTTGGCTGCCTTGTCTTTCTTCTCATCTTCTCACCTATTGCAACACTGCATCAGGAAAGTAGCTTGTGCGCATGCACCTGGACACATCTCGCCCACATATGTAGCTGTAGCATAGCACATGTGAAGAAACTGACCACGTAGGTGCATGAACACTGAGAGCACCTGGGTGGGTGGGAAAGGACAAGCAATACACTAGACATTTTGTGTACCAGATATGTCCTTGGCTGCCTTGTCTTTCTTCTCATCTTCTCACCTATCGCAACACTGCATCAGGAAAGTAGCTTATGCGCATGCACCTGGACACATCTCGCCCACATATGTAGCTGTAGCTGTCATGAACCTTGACTGTTCCTGCTCCGATTTTTTCCAGGAGCTGAGATGTTGACGGTCGAGTCATGGTCACTTTGATGTCAGGCTCTGGTGTCAATGTCATGATGGCCTTGCCTTGCGACATATTCACCGTGCCGGTCACGTTGAAGAACGCCATGGCAAATAAGAGGGGAAGCGATGAAAGCTGAGAACAAGAATGGCACTGGGGCAGTGACAATGGATTGCAAGAATGGAGCAGTGACAATGGATGGCAGGAATTGTATTTATGTCTTTTCCAGCCTAAAGGAATGCATCCAGAATGCATTCTTCCCAATATCTAAGATCCAAGATCTAAGAATTGCGGAGAAGTCTTGTGCAAATCTTGGGTTTGGAATTTGCCAGAATACTCTTACCAATCCCTATGAAAATTCTTTAGGAATCCAAGATTTTGATCACGCATTCTTCCCAAGATCTAAGATCCAAGATCTAAGAATTGCGGAGAAGTCTTGTGCAAATCTTGGGTTTGGAATTTGCCAGAATACTCTTACTAGTCCCTATGAAACTTCTTTAGAAATCCAAGATTTTGATCAAAAGTCTTGTGGGAAACTTGGATCTTGGATTTTGAATCTTGCAAAGAATGCATTCAGAATGCATTCTTTCGGCAGGATTCAAGATTCAAGATTCAAGATTTCTAGGGACTCTTTGGAGCAAATCTTGAATCCACCCCCTGGATTCAAGATTCAAGATTCCTGAGGACTCTTTCCAGCAAATCTTGAATCCAGCATTCAAGATTCAAGATTCAAGATTTCTGGGGACTCTTTGGGGCAAATCTTGAATCCTGGATTCAAGATTCAAGATTCAAGATTCCTGAGGACTCTTTCCAGCAAATCTTGAATCCAGGATTCAAGATTCAAGATTCAAGATTTCTGGGGACTCTTTGGGGCAAATCTTGAATCCAGGATTCAAGATTCAAGATTCCTGAGGACTCTTTCCAGCAAATCTTGAATCCAGGATTCAAGATTCAAGATTTGCCCCAAAGAGTCCCCAGAAATCAGAAATCTTGAATCTTGAATCTTGAATCCGGATTCAAGATTTGCCCCAAAGAGTCCCCAGAAATCTTGAATCTTGAACCCTGGATTCAAGATTTGCTGGAAAAAGTCCTCAGGAATCTTGAATCTTGAATCTTGAATCCGGATTCAAGATTTGCTGGAAAGAGTCCCCAGAAATCTTGAATCTTGAATCTTGAATCCTGGATTCTAGATTTGCCCCAAAGAGTCCCCAGAAATCTTGAATCTTGAATCCGGATTCAAGATTTGCCCCAAAGAGTCCCCAGAAATCTTGAATCTTGAATCTTGAATCTTGAATCCGGATTCAAGATTTGCCCCAAAGAGTCCCCAGAAATCTTGAATCTTGAATCTTGAATCCGGATTCAAGATTTGCCCCAAAGAGTCCCCAGAAATATTGAATCTTGAATCTTGAATCCAGGGGGTGGATTCAAGATTTGCTCCAAAGAGTCCTCAGAAATCTTGAATCTTGAATCTTGAATCCTGCCGAAAGAATGCATTCTGAATGCATTCTTTGCAAGATTCAAGATCCAAGATTCCCACAAGGGTTGGATTCAAGGCTTGAATCCTCTATGTATATATATATATATATGTATATATACACTATATAACATCCCCCAAATCCCGGAATCCAAAATTACATACCAAAAATAGCAAATTTTACTGTAAATACCAGTACTTTTGTGAAATTGGTAGGTCTTGGGGGGGGGGTACCATATATATATATATATGTATATGTATATATATATATGGCTATGGATATATATATATATATATGGATACATATATATGTATATGTATATATGTATATATATATGGCTATGGATATATATATATATGGATATGGATATATATATATATGTATATATATATATATGTATATATATGTATATGTATATATATATGGATATATATATATATGGATATGGATATGTAATGATATACTGTGTATATATGGGATGAACATCCATAAATGGCCAGCAACTTTGATGTCAAAACCAGGGGATTCCATATGGTTTTTGACCCAGAAAATCGACTCATCATGGATCACTCATGGCTCAGGTGGTGATGGCGTATGCACTGGAACAGGTTGCAGAGGCCGCTGAAGAAACACCTGTTGATTGGTTATGAAATAGACCCCTGTTGGTGATTTAAGTCTCATTCATACAACTTTCCAAGAACACCGCATATTTTAGTTGGCTATATCAAGTCATATCTCAATCTATCTCAACTATATCTCATTCATCCCCAATATCTGGGCTATATTAGGCTATATTCGTCAAATTATTCTCCCAATTTTTGTCGTTTTTGCACATCTGGATCCATGTTTGGGGTAGTTCACATGGACATTTTCACCACGAAGATAGCTACCCGAAACAGTGTCATCAAACATGGCTGCCTCGAAAATTCACTCTGTTTTTTCGATGACTTTCCCAGCAAAAAAAACCGCCAGTTCGGGGATTTCTCAATATTTCTCATATTTTCCCAGCTATCCCATTTTTCGTTTCGGGAATTTCCCACGTTGACACGTTGAAAAAAAAACCGTGACATCTCCGTGGTTTGGGGCGTTTCCGAGGCGGCCAGCCGGCGCTTGGTGAAGGACCTGGAAGTCAGGGATGAACTGCGATCCACGTGCCGCAGGGCAGTCACGTCACGGGGATGGACCTGGATGGCCTACCTCTCTACGCAGCACAGTGATATATCTTATATATGGTCCATATATACACACATATGTGTGTAGCTACATGTAGCTACATATTTTATATGGATTCACACAAATACATTAATATACATATATACATAAATCACTGTATTATATGCAGATTTCTAAGTCACAAGTATATACACACATACGCATGTCTATATCTACTGTATATCTATATCTACATCTACATCCATATGGCTATGTCTATACTCAAACACTCTTGAGGTCAGTGAATCCTTTACAGTTCAGCCAGCCAGGTCATGTGCTGTGTCTCAGGTGCATGCATCGTCGTGAGTATCTGCAACTGCTCGAGGGTGCACTGAGTCGCAACTGAGATGTTGGGCACCAGAACAGTGACACCGCGGTTTGAACAAATCAACCACCAAACGTTGGAATATTCCAAGTAATGCGCTGAGCACGAGAATCAATAGAGGTTGCTATGGAGTCAAGGCATCCCAACACACACACACAAATCCACGCAACCTTGCTTGAACATTTTTTTTTGGTTTCCTGGCGAATTCCAATGCGATTGTAGGCCTCAAGGCCTCGTTGTATCCCCAATGTTGGGATCACCTGTACAAAGACCCCCCACGTGTCGCGTGGCGTCGGATGCCGTTCAGCTTCGTTTCGGCCAAAGTGGCAGCAGTCCGTTGGCTACGCGATCAGAAGTGAATTGTAGCCTATAGGCCCATAGTAATCCCATAGTCATCATAGTCATAAGTCATTCCTTCAGCCTTTCAAAAGTCCCTGAATTGCCACTCCAATTCCAATGTACTGCAGACTGCAGACTTTGAGACGCAGGAAAGAAGGTCCCTCACAGACAACAAGTGTCATGGATGGCTGCGGCTCGACTGACAAGGGTTCATGATCCTTTTCAAAGCAGAACCCAGAGAAGTAGCTGCAAACAATACAGCTTTTGGAGCAAACAAAGTGGTTTTTAATGAAGTAGTTGCCACTAAATTTCCGTTCAGTAAGTTTGCAAACGAGCAAAGAAATTCAACTCACCGAGATCCTTGGAGTTGCAACCCACACAGCGACACAGTTCACCGGTTCAACATCCATGCTGGCCTTGGGAGCTCGTGTCCAGCTGGACATCGATGGCTTCCTTGCCGCCCCGCCTTCGGAGCCTTCGGAAGCTCTTGCGACGCGCCAAGTTGATGGGTGCGGAGCTGCAGGATTGGAGCCATGAACGGCAAATGCTGTGGAGGGCCAAGCTGAAAGAGCAATTTCAGGTGGCCAAAGATTTGAAGAAGCTGCCCCCAGGTGTGGCCTTGCACGCTCTTCTATTGGGAGGGAATAGGCTGTATGAATTATTACTACCTAGATATGTACAATATTAGTATTGGTTCAGTATGGTTCAGTAATGATATATTGGAGTCGTTCGAAAGGTCCGTGGGTTTTTAATTGCCAAGACCGCCAGGGTTCCAACATGAGACCCCGCAAAAGTTTTTCTGAGTCCACGAAGGTCTTTTTTGTTTGGCGAAAGATTTAGCGAAGGAATTTTACATGAGACCCCGCGAAAGATAGACGTGGGGTTCGCGAAAGATTCGCGGAAGTTATTGTATATTATGTTTTTAATTATGTTTTTCCCCAACAGCAGAATGCTTTGGGGTCTTCAGCCATAGTAAAGGTTTCGGAGCAGACCGGAGCAGCTCCAAAACCCATTCCCCCAAGGTTCCCAGGTTCCAAGTAAAGGTTCCCAGGTTCCCAAGTAAAGGTTCCCAAGTAAAGGTTCCCAGGGTCCCAAGTAAAGGTTCCCAAGTAAAGGTTCCCAGGTTCCCAAGTAAAGGTTCCCAAGTAAAGGTTCCCAGGGTCCCAAGTAAAGGTTCCCAGGTTCCCAAGTAAAGGTTCCCAGGGTCCCAAGTAAAGGTTCCCAGGTTCCCAAGTAAAGGTTCCCAAGTAAAGGTTCCCAGGGTCCCAAGTAAAGGTTCCCAGGTTCCCAAGTAAAGGTTCCCAAGTAAAGGTTCCCAAGTAAAGGTTCCCAAGGTTCCCAAGGTTCCCTCAAGGTTCCCAAGGTTCCCAAGGTTCCTCAAGGTTCCCTCAAGGTTCCCAAAAGGTTCCCAAAAGGTTCCCTCAAGGTTCCCTGCAAGGTTCCCAAGTTTTCCAAGTAAAGGTTGTCAAGGTTCCCAAGATTATTATGTAAAGGTTCCCAAGTAGACGTGGTCCAGGTTCCCAAGGTGACATTGTAAAGGTTTCTATAAGATTCCCAAGGTTAGATTGCCAAGGTTCCCTCAAGGTTCCCAAAACTTACCCTCAAGGTTCCTCCAAGGTTCCTTCAAGGTTTCTTCAAGGTTCCCTGAAGGTTCCCAAGTTTTCCAAGGTTCCCAAGGTTGTATTGTAAAGGTTCCCTCAAGGTTCCCAAGGTTACATTGTAAAAGGTTCTCAAGGATTCCAAGGTTATATTGTCAAGGTTTCCTCAAGCTTTCCGAGGTTGCATTGTAAAGGTTCCCTCAAGATTCCCAAGTTTCCCAAGTAAAGGTTGTCAAGGTTCCCAAGGTTGTATTGTAAAGGTTCCCTCAAGGTTCCCAAGTTTTCCACGTAAATGTTCTCAAGGTCCACGAGGTTATTATGTAAAGGTTCCCAAGTAGTAATATTCGTCGTAATATACTAATTTCTTTAAGAAATTTGAATGCGGCTACACGCGCGGAACCCGCGCAGAACAACACGCGCGGAACCTGCGCAAAACGCAGACGCGCATAACGCGCATAGCGCACGGAAACGCGTGCTATTAATACTTCTAGTAGTAGTAGTAGTCGTCGGTCGTCGTCGTAGTAGTAGTCGTCGTCGTAGTAGTAGTATAGTAGTAGTAGTAGTAGTCGTGGTAGTAGTCGTAGTAGTCGTAGTAGTCGTAGTAGTCGTAGTAGTCGTAGTAGTCGTAGTAGTCGTAGTAGTCGTAGTAGTCGTAGTAGTCGTAGTATAGTCGTAGTATAGTCGTAGTATAGTCGTAGTAGTCGTAGTAGTCGTAGTAGTCGTAGTAGTCGTAGTAGTCGTAGTAGTCGTAGTAGTCGTAGTAGTCGTAGTAGTCGTAGTAGTCGTAGTAGTCGTAGTAGTCGTAGTAGTCGTAGTAGTCGTAGTATAGTCGTAGTATAGTCGTAGTAGTCATAGTAGTCGTCGTAGTAGTCGTAGTAGTCGTAGTAGTCGTAGTAGTCGTAGTAGTCGTATACGTAGTCGTAGTAGTCGTAGTAGTCGTAGTAGTCGTCGTAGTCGTCGTATAGTCGTCGTATAGTCGTCGTATAGTCGTCGTATAGTCGTCGTATAGTCGTCGTATAGTCGTCGTATAGTCGTCGTATAGTCGTCGTATAGTCGTCGTATAGTCGTCGTATAGTCGTCGTAGTCGCAGTCGCAGTCGCAGTCGCAGTCGCAGTCGCAGTCGCAGTCGCAGTCGCAGTCGTAGTAGTAGTAGTAGTAGTAGTAGTAGTAGTAGTAGTAGTAGTAGTAGTAGTATTATAGTAGTAGTAGTAGTAGTAGCAGTAGCAGTAGCAGTAGCAGTAGCAGTAGCAGCAGGAGTAGTAGTAGGAGTAGTAGTAGTAGTAGTAGTAGTAGTAGGAGCAGCAGCAGCAGCAGTAGCAGTAGCAGTAGCAGTAGCAGTAGCAGTAGCAGTAGTAGCAGTATTAGTAGTAGTAGTAGTAGTAGTAGTAATAATAAAAAAATCGTACTCATCACGCATATCGGCCTGCCAGACAAAACCGACACATGCCAAACGTTTGGTTGCTCTGTTGGACGGAGGCGAACAGAGCAACTCGGAGTCGAACAAAGCAACTAGCACCCGAAAACCACTCTTTTCGAAGCTATTTGCTCTATGAAACGATTGGTTGCTCTGTTTGACGCAGGCGAACAGAGCAACTAAGTCCCCACTTGTCAGGTGAGATTTGTTAGATCATATGTTATCTCTTCTCTTCCTCCTTCTTCCACCGGACCTCAACGATCGGTCAAGATGGGGATCGCACGAGTAATTGTTGTTTCTGGAAGATTTGGAGCATAAAGTTTGCATGCTCCCACTGTAATTTCCCAACGTTGACGGCGCGCACTGGAAGGAGAAGCTGGCAGCAATTTTCCAATCAGAAGGGTGGCTTGGCCCGATGAAGGTCGTGCGGCAGGGTGACAGCGACACCTTCACCTATGTGTCTGGGCACACCAGGACGTGCAGCTTGTATTGCTATCTTCGTATGGCTTTCGACTTGCAGCTGGAGCTTCCGAAGTGGATGCGGTCTATGGCCCAGTCTGTGCCTGTCATGGTCGTGAAGGAGCCGGTGTCAGTTGCAGATCGGCAGAAAAAGATTGTAAATACAAAACCAGATGTAAATACAAAACGAAAAAAAAAACAGTTGAAAAAAACAAGGCAATATTTTTCGAACGCTGATTCATTGCTACTGGTGCATAATCCGCCTTCTTGCTCTTTTAAACGCTTTTATACTGGAGAAAAGTACCCTAGAAGAACACAATTTTCAAACCTTACGCAAAGCGCACCGGGTCTTCAAAAGGACGTAAGTAAAGAACAATAAAACACAAAATATCAACAAACTTTAAGCCTGTTGTTTAGATGTCAGAATGTATGCAAGATGGAATGCCAGAACGCAATTCAAATAAAATCACATGGAATCTTCAAGCAAACGCATTTGAACAACCAGCGACAAAAGCGAAGCGCCATTAAAAAAAAGCGGCATAGCATGAAAACATGAGGTAAAAAATCACGTAAGTGTAGTTGCACCTGAGTGCCATGCGTACAAGAGACATGTACCTGATGACAATATACATATCATTATCCATGCCAAGACATGCAGAATTTATTTTCCATCATCGATTACCTGTGTCTTCATGTAATTATTTTTTCAAAAAAGAACATATTTCAAAAATACATCCGTGTAGACAAGCGAGAAATGTACAACTCATACCAAAACTATTTACATCTATAAGGTCTGATCTAAAGAAAGTCCAGAGACAGTAGTAGTAGTACTAGTAGTACTAGTAGTACTAGTAGTACTAGTAGTACTAGTAGTACTAGTAGTACTAGTAGTACTAGTAGTAGTAGTAGTAGGTAGTTGGTAGTTGGTAGTTGGTAGTTTGTACTTTGTACTTTGTACTTTGTACTTTGTACTTTGCAGTTTGCAGTTTGCAGTTTGCAGTTTGCAGTTTGCAGTTTGCAGTTTGCAGTTTGCAGTTTGCAGTTTGCAGTTTGCAGTTTGCAGTTTGCAGTTTGTGGTTTGTGGTTTGTGGTTTGTGGTTTGTGGTGAGTCGTGAGTCGTGAGTCGTGAGTCGTGAGTCGTGAGTCGTGAGTCGTGAGTCGTGAGTCGTGAGTCGTGAGTCGTGAGTCGTGAGTCGTGAGTCGTGAGTCGT